ATCATTTAATCTGTCATAACAAATTCAATTTGAAAAGTCTTACGATGTACTCCGATTTAATTTGTGGTACACCGAAGCCCTATTACTATTATCAGATGATTTGGAGATGATCGTCATTTGGTTCATCATCTGTTTTTAACATTTAACAGCAACTTGGATGTTTACCATTCTTATCTACTGTGTTACCTGACTTATAACGAATATACGTTGTATACGAGTACCCCGAATACAACGTATGACTCGTCTAATTTTGCATAGCATTTGCAATGTAAAATTAGACGAACTATACGTTGTATTCGGGGTACTCGTATAGAACGTATATTCGTTATAAGTCAGGTAACACAGTAGGAAGAATTTAGTTCAAGAGTGCAGTTTCGAACCCCTTTGGATATGGTTGTGTTTTAAGTTTGTTCTCTGTTTTGTGCGTGCGTTCGCTTTCATAGTTTTCGGCTGCATTTGCCGGATTAGCGCTGGAACTCTGCTCCAGGATGCTCGACCGGATGTATTGATTTGGTGAGTACGTTCCAGTTGAAGATTGTTCTTATACATTTCTCGATTGCATTTTCGAGGGGACGTCCGAAGAGCTTTGAGATTTGGGCGTTGTTGCTTTTGCGGGCAGACGCGTTGGTCGCTGATTTCTCGTAGGTAGCTCAGTCTCGCAAACAGTCTATACGAAATGATAGAGGAATTATGCCTGTTAGTGTTGTTAGTTTTTGGGCTTTTATTCGCGAGGGATTGTGATTGACGTGTTTGTTTGCAGAGGGAATTGCGCCCTGGTCTCAAGGTTCTCCGGACGTGTCTGCTTTTGTTGGGAGTGCGTTCGGTTTGGTGTGGTTGGTGGCTCGTCGTAGTCGCCGTAGGCAGTACCGTTAGTATATTTAAAATTAACCATAAACCACTGAAATTATATGAATAATCGCGTATCTCTGTTGTTCATTACATACCAAGTGAAAACTTAATCATATTTTGTCGTAAAGTGTTGTGGTTGTGAGATGCTCGATAACCCTGGAGGGATCGGTTTTGCTTTGCTTTGCTCTCCCACAACAGAATAAACCACCATCGTTGGGTTCCGAAAGCATAAAGCGCAGTTAATAATCAAAAGTTGAATAGTTTAAACCATGAATTTCGGAAATGGTGTATGCGTGATCCAGTTTGGAAGACATTGTTGGCTGCTTTCAGACACGTCGCTTCATTTGAATAACTTTTTATTGAGTCGGTCATAGATTGTGGTAATGTAAGGGGCACGGTGGCTATAGAGCAAATGTTTTTGCTTAATGAGTAGATGATAGATGGGTGAAAACCCAAGCCTCATTACATTACTAAGTTTATATATCCAGGCCTCTATTGTAGAAAATCGTTAATAACAGAAATTGGAGGAACGATTCAGAAAAGTAATAAGTATATTTAAACAAATGTGACGTACGCCTGAATCAGTTCGGAAGACATTGTTAACTACTTTGGATGATTTCATTTTATTGTAATAGCTTCTTGTAACCGATAATGAAGTCGGTCGTAGCTTGTTGTGATGTAAAGGGCACGGTTGCATTAGAGCGACCGTTTTTGCTTACTGAGCAGAAGATCGTGGGTTAAACCCCAAGTATCTTTACATTACTGAGTTGATAGGGTCGCGTCATTTGTTTAACAGGTTTTAAAAGATCGCATCACTTTCCAATGTGAATCCAGATCTAATTTACCCTTCCCACTAACAAAAACGTTCTTCCCGTGACAACCGTGGAGATGCAGAGTAGACTGATGCAAAATTTGAAATTTTCGCTCCACAGTGCTTAAACGGTTCCAAATTGGGTCCTGCTTAGCCTCCCAAAATTTCAACTACTTTAGTAAGAAACTGACTTGGCACAAACCATTTAAAGTTTATATGGGAATTACTATGGGAAAACTTATGTTTTTGTTCATACCTATCTAACAATTCACCACATCACTATGCTTTTAAAAATGATAGCAATGATTGTAGAAACTTTTCTCAGCTAAAATTTTGTTGAAAACAGCTTTTCAATCAAATGTAAGGAACAAAAGTTATTAATGATTCAAGTCACTGATGTCTTATGATTATGCTCATTCAACTGTTTAACAGGCAACAGCAACACACAACACGTAGAATAGAGCACAAAAATCATGGCTACTATGTCACACTGCAGAATACAGTGTTGCCCACAGAACAGCTGCTTGATCATGCTATAAGATTATCAATCTCTCAAAAAATTAATAACAATTTAATTTGACATTTGGCTGAAAAACGACATTCCGCAAAGTTGTAGCTTAGAAAATTTCCCGTAAGAATAGTTATAGAAATTTTCGAAAAAGCAATATGGAAAATGGGTAGAAGACAATGAACAAAAAGTTTGGTTTTCCCATTGTAATTTCCATATAAACTTCGAATGGTTTGTGCCAAGTCAGTTTCTTACCAAATTAGTTTAAATTTTGGGAGGCTAATCAGGACCTGATTTGAAACCGTTTGAGCACTGTGGGCGAAAATTTCAAAATTTGCATCAGTCTAATGCAGAGGTATACTCGGTCGCTAGTAGCAACGGTTGTTGAAATAACAATCCTTTCCGTTCCCTGATGACCATACGGACTTGGCCGGCGCCGTTATTGATCTCAAAAATATGGATTCTCCGGATTTTGTACACTGGGAATGGATTGCTAGCCCCAAGCCCCATTCATATGGTTCTTTGTACAAATTTCGCTAAATGTGGTCAATCACGGAGTAGCAACTACTGTTACTGTTTTCAGTTGAAAATAGGTAATAGTTTAAGTATTAAAATGCTTTATTTTTATATAATTATAAGTAGAGTCGATCTTACAGTCCGTACACCTATGTACCTCGAGCTAAGTAGTTCCTACGAAGATCCCAACAGCTCCGAGAGCATCTCTCAACTGGAGTAAGAATTGGATGCGATTCCTGTCCACGATCAGCTTTGAATCAGTTGTGCCCTCCGCTTCGCTCCCGCAGGCCGTGGTCCCCGTCGTTATCGTTGATCCTGATTACCGAACACTAATCCCTTCTGCAGTGCCTCTAGAAAACTGTCCATGACACCTTCCTGCGTCCGAACGGCATCGTTGTCCAGGAGCTTTCGTTGCTACTGCGTTCCTGCATCTCCTGCTGGGAACGTTCCTTGGCCTTCAGTGTTCGACGTCTTCACAAAAGCGCTTCAGAAAACTTATTTTTGTGCGCAATTATGGGGCAAACAATCATCTGCACTGCACTGCGGTGTAGTTATCTGAAATTGAAATTGAAGGCAGCTCCCACACCTGGACCCTAACCACCGACCCACCAACTCATAGGAACTATGGAAGTGTATCTAGTACACTATGTTGAGAGCACGCAATAAGCTAATGTGCGATCAGCAATAAGCTTGAAATGCGAAGAAGAAGAAGAAGAAGAAGAACTTAACACTTCATGTTTTGCTGTTAACGTCTTGTTGAAAAGTTAATTTAAGTTCATGGGTCGTTTAACTAACGATTATTGTTTATTTGTTTTGTTTAACAAATGTTAAGTCATTCATGACTTGTCCGGGGTGATATTGAAACTCAAGTCTTTTCGTGTGAGAAGCATGGATGTAAATGGTTAGCATCCATGCTTCTCAGTTTAGACTAGTTTTCCGTTTGATTCAATAGTGTAAAATGTTGCTCTTATTTTTGCTGTGAAAATCGTTAAGTCAACCAGAATGAGATCAAGTGGAGTATTCAAAATAAATTACATCATAATAGCACAGACAAACAGACGTAACTCTTTGAAAAACTTGTTCTTGAAAACATAGTATCTCAAAACATATAACCTCAGTAACGACATCTATCTGGCTTCTCGCGGAAAACAAGCTTGCTCGCTAACTCGTAAACAATATTGCATAAAATTTGTATAGAATATATAGAAACGTCAAAGTGATCCGATGCCAGCGCTGCGGCGAGTAGTTCGCGGAACTGATAATATTCAAATCAACCGTTAAATGCATGAACGAAGATACACAATGAAGAGTTACGTCTGTTTGTCTGTGATAATAGTAAATTTGTTCAAAACAACTCGAAATAAAATGTTTTGCATTTTATTGTGATGTGAAATGCTTGTTCCGCAAATGTAAACAACAACAAATTTGCTTTCCATGTGTCAACTTAATCAATTTGACTCAAGTTGTAAAAGTTGGTCCGATTTTACAAAAAGAATTCTTCAGTAATTCTATTTGCAACTTGCACTGATCCATTCATTTGCTGCACTCATCAGCCATCTACACGCAAGCAGCCAAGGCTACAACCTCAGAACGAAGCATATTGATACAGACAACCAGACATAACACATTGAATATTTCTCACTGTTGAGCACACTGTGGTGGGCAGTACAGCGTTACGCCGTTAGATGGCGGTAGTGTGTAAACGTCAAACGCAAGGGAATTCAATATGCGATACTCTTAAATTAACCGTGCAATGCTTGTTCGATGAACAACTTACGAGTGTTATGTCTGTTTGTCTGTGATATAGATATCAAGTACCGTAAAGCACCGAAATCCGGATACTTAGTCCACAAATCAAGTGTTAATTACTAAAACCGTTCGTATGGTACCTATCATCGCCTAGCGAGAGAATTCCGATCTTAAAAATTTTACGAATCTAAAGAACTTTTTCGAAGGATGTTTTTGGTTCTTGTGAACCTTATCATGATGCATATCAAAGTTCATGGCCCCGCACGAAGTATGACCATTGGTGGTTGACGGGTTGTAAATTACTGTTAGTGGTCACTGGTTGTAAATTAAACGTCCAACCATTGTGGACACATTCAGATCGATGACAGCTGATATCAAAAATATCGTTCGGTTTGCTCTCGGACCATGGTGTCCACCTCAACACACTGACACGCTTATTTCCTTCAGGCTCCAGCTTAGTTCAACGTATCAGTCACGTTTATTTCCAGACGATTTCATCAGGAAACGGCCACTTCTTCGTCCAAGTGCAACACTACCACGCACGTACATACGAATCAAAAAGAAAGCTTATCTTTACCACTCTCGATTGCAATCTTCTCTGCATCGAGAGTTGTTTATTCAGTAATAGAAAGACATGAAGTACTTATACAAATATCAATATACAACACTTACAGGTACCTTAAAAAATCACCACAACCACAACCGAATTGCAACTTCTAATCAAATGCTGGAAACAACAAAAGAAATAGGTATACAACGTTACATCACAGATAAGCCGCTTGTTTCGTTCCGTTTCCAGTAGTGTAGATAGCGTATGCGGGGTCTCGTACAATATGCTGCAACACAAGGGGTAGCAGCATGTTCTCAGACTGTTTACCTCATCGCCTCATAAGGACGTCTCCAGAATCTCCCTCGAAGACCGTTGCTGACGGTTGCTGTGATGGTGCTGTAGATGAGGCTGATGCACCTGCTGGGGATTCCCCGAACTTGTATCACCACTGACGTCTACCTGGTCGACAACCCGGTGTGATGGACCGTTGGGTGACTGTTTCGGTTCAGCTTCCTCATTTCTGTAGTCGTTGTCCATGTTGTTGTTCTTCTTGTGGAAAATCGGTACTGTTGAATGTTCAATTCCGATTCGGGTTTAACTGAAAACAGCCGACTTACCGTGGTTTCCAGCGCATCCGGTTGGAATAGATCTCCGCTAAGGGACGGTCGAATCTTTGGTCGGGATTTGAATCGGCCCGAGTGCGAGACCGAATACTTCCGGTGCGTTGGTATTTCCGGGGCAGTCTTTTCCCGCAGCGTCATTTCTATTCGTCGATGCACCAACCAAACGATAGAAAGCCCTTGACTCCGAATGATTGTGATTACAGCCCTTCTATTGTCGCCGTTTGCCGTAGCAGCAGCAGGTACCTGCCGTTCGTCGTTGGTCGCGCAGATTGATAAGCATTTCGATTGGGTACTCGTCGGTGGACCATCTTTCACACCTACGAACGTATACCGGGCACTAGCATCAGCGTGCTCTCTCTCGTATGTATCGGCAACTTATCAACTCGTCAATGGACTCTGCACAAACACACAGCGAGCGGTTTGCTTTGTAGATAACGAATGTTCTGTTGTTCGGCGGTTGCATCTGTTCGGCCGTCTGACTGGCTGGTTGGCCGGCTAAAATCGATGAGTCGATGATGCTTGTGAAGTGGTACAATCAAAAGATGAAAAGAACATTGGGACGGATAGATAAGGCGTTGCACCGGACGACTGGGACATTTATGGCCGTAAACTTTGGTTGGGTTTCCCAACTTGATCCAAACTCGGGTCGTTTCCAGCTTTCAGGCTTCTGTCAAGCAAAGTTAGGTCAACTTTCTGTTTGTGTATCTGTTTGAAATGATAAAATCTGATCAACAATGTTTAACAATTGAAGAGGCCACCACATTAAATTTGTTTTAACCTTCACTCAAACAAAAAATTACGCGTCGGTTTTTATCATGTGCTTCACACAAAGATTTGCGCAACTTGCAAAACACATCAATCGCACGTGTGAATCTTATGAAAACAGCCTAGGGGCATCCCACTCTAAACTTTGTATTTCTCACGTTGTACTTATAAAGTTCTAACTGATATCTTAGATACCTATAAGCTGCCCCTTCCTGAACCCAAACTGTTCCGGTAGGAGAATATTGTTTATTGAGAATGAGTTCTCAAACAATTTGCTCAGCGCTGAGCGGAGGCTGATCGGTCTGTAGCTTGACGGCAATGCTGAATCTTTACCGGATTTACGGATCGATTTTATTTTTGCTATCTTCCAGATGCTTGAAAAGTAGTGCAGCTCCAAGCATCTGTTGAAGATGGCAGTTAAAACTGCTTAGACTTTCATGCTAAGTCTTTTTATTATTAGGTTAAATATGCCTTAAAAATTGGGGGCGTTCCTATTCTTTGAATATTTCAGCGCTAAGCAAATCTGTTCTAAAGTACTTCTATCCTCCGGAGACACAGCACAAGGGGAGTAATCTACATGTTGGACGCATTGCACCAACTGATTTCGAGCGGACAATATGATTGCCAATCGCATTTGCTTTCTCTTGTGGAGTAATGAGCCGATCGTCATCATTTCTGACTCTGAGAGGTGGAACGGGTTTGGGATGAGTTTTTAGCACCTTGGTTACCTTCCAGAATTGACGGCTACCGCTCCGGTCATCCAGATTCTGAACAACACGCCCGAAGCTTTCATTTCGGAATGCGTCCATTCTGGAAGCAATCTGTCTGTTCAGATCGACCACGTTTTTTGTCCAGATCTCCAGTCCTCTGAAACTGGCGTCTACAAAAATTTCTCGATCGAATCAGAATTTGGGTGTGGGAATCAATGGCAACCAACTTACCCCTCACAGGAACTTGTCGAACAAACATCTCGTCAGCCACGGATATGGCCTGGTGGAGTCCTTCCAGCGCCCGGTCGATGTCCACTAAGGTGTCAGTCGGCGGATTTTCATCGATGTTTCTGTCAACCACATGCCCAAACTGCACCCAGTTGACATGATGGGAATCTTTGCGCAGGCTTTGAGCAGGTGCCACGTTGATGCTGACTTCAGCCACCACCGGTTGGTGGTCGGAGCTGAGATCGTTGATCGGCATTGGTTGGGATAGTCCAAAGCTCGATAGAAAAAAAAAGTCCAACGTGGAAGGTTCGGTTCATCCGGGAGTTTCACTGTCTACAGCCCATGCTGCGAGTGGTCGAATGCTTCGGGGCCAGCAATTAAATAACCCCCAATGACGAATCGTGAGCTCGTGCGAGTGATGGTGGTCAGGTCATTCTTGAATTAGATAGCGATGAACCGGACGTTTCCAGTTAGTGATTCCACCTCCACACTAAGGGCCTCGATGATAGAAGTGCGGATATAGAGCAGCGTGCAGAACTTGGTTCCTTTCTTGATGATCGCAACATCACCCGCTCTCCTGGAATCGATACGATTAAGCCGGATAATGTGGTGATCATGCAAACAAAAGCTGTCACCGGATTTGAGATGGGTCTCTGTTAGGAGGGCCACGTCGGTATTGTGCTTGCCGAGGAAGTCAGCAAGCTCGAGCTTTTTTTCATGCAAGCGTTCCACGTGACGATAGTTATCGGTTTAGACGCCATAATGAATAATAAACGTACAGAGCACTTGGATCTGTTCGGGCTTGTTGTGACACTGACGAAGAGCGTTGGTCATGTCGACGAAAACCTTCATCAGCTCATCAGCAGAGAAGAGGATCGGGATTGACGTTTTGTGCTGATGATTGCCTCCAGAATCCAGTGGGGATGGGGAGCTTTGTCCAGCAGAAGCACCAGACGTTTCTTGACGAGGGCTCGATTGCACCCGCGGATTTGCTAAACCGTGTTACGTAGCACGAAGAGGCAGGAAGTCCTCCACTCTGAATGCCGGCGTTTTGTCCTTCTTCCGTCATGGTTGGTTTCTTATGGACGCCTGCTTTCGGATCCACTTGAAATTTTCGCATTTGGAGCACTGTTTGTCGGACCCTTGCTGAGCGCCACCACAGTTGGCGCATTTAGTCGTTTCCGACTCGTCGAGAGCACACTCGGAGGAACATTTGCCACAGCGCGGCTTGATGTAGCAGTTTCGGGTGCCGTGGCCTAAATTCAGGCAACGCTGACACTCTTAATAAAAATGTTATGGTTAATTTGCTTAACGACGTGTTCGGGGTATCATCCAAACCATTTGTTGAATAGTTCAATTTGGGTTATCGTTCGTTCATGGTATTTTTATTAGGGACTGGGTGACGTCGTGACCACGGTATGGCTCCCATAAGACAATGATGAAATTGATGGAGCGGATGGCCTTCAACGCATTGAGCGTCACCGTTCTCTTATGGAAAAGCACCAAGAAAGGGCAATCCGGTACTTCTTGACGAAAGACAGCAGTTGGGGCTAGCTTGTGGCGGTCCTTGATTTCCGCTTCGATTAACTTCGGGTCGAAGCTCGGTAAACCTCGGATCAGAGTTGCGACCTATCACAATCACGATCGCCAAACAGCTGATTGTAGTAACGCTTTGTACATTCCTATCAATGTGCTCGTCGAAGCTCTCTCCATGACCATCAATAAAGTTGAGGAAAGAAGTAAAAAGCAACTGGTGAATGTCGTCTTCTGTTGTGATCCATCACCGATCTGGTCATTCCCGACAATCACGACACTCATCTGTGCTCGTTTTGAAACAGTTGCTGCTTTGTTTGCTTATTTGAGTGTGTTGGTGAGTGAGCCCAACAGCTTCCGTTTCATGTTGCCTGCTTTGTTTGTAACTCACACAGTCGCGCCTGCCGAGACGAACTTGGAATGCGTAGGCATTGTTTTCATTTTCTTCTGTCGTTTCGCTTTTTCTCATGATCGTACCATAGAGGTAACTCTAAGACCAGAAGGTCCCGAAGAAACGAGCTCAACTTTTTGGCTCAGCTCTGGTACTATCTTCGGTCCCAAGCTAATCGATGCACCCCTCGAAACATATAAAAATCCACGAACCCCTAATTTTATCTGTCAAACTTTCATAGCGAATCAAAACAAACATAGTGTAGTACTGGAATTTATACTAGAATGGGGTACTGGGGGTACGTTAATCGATTTGCTTGGGACCCATAGGCTAGTCAAGTAATGAGCCAATTTAAAATCGTTAGTTTCGTATTGATTGTTGATCGTAATGCAGAAGTCTTCACTGTTTTCGTTGTGCTTTTCATCATCAGCAGCGAGTGTAACGTTTTGCTTGTGAGCAGCGACCATTACTGGTGATTGTTGTTTGCCATGGCTCTAACTCTCACTGTGTGACAAAAAGATCCGTCAGCGATAGTCGGTTGATGCGAAGTCGAGTGTCACGTGAGTGTCATGATATTTTGCATCACTGCCTCGGATGACCACTTTGAAGGGCTTCTCGCCTGGGATATCGTGAGTGAAGAATTCCGCCTTGGACTTCTTCAGGTAAGATGTGGCCAGTTCATATTCCACTTTCGTGCGGAGCATCACCTTGGTTCTGATTCTACTGAGCTTGAACTCAGCTTTAATGCCCATTGACGCGAAGCTAGCGATGAGCGTGTTAAGGGGTGCATTTTTCACTACCAACGGTGGTAGTTTGACGTTTGCCGCACTTGGGCTATCATTACACTTATAGTACGTTCAGACTACAGAGTTATAACATGTTACAGTGCTATCTTGCTGGTGGTTTCTGTTCTGCAATTATTTGACAACCGTTATAACATGTTATAACTCTCCAGTCTGGACAGCGTTTTACACCATTGGTTCTTCCTCCTTCTCTTACTGCGCTTGTTCGTTGCCGCTGGCTGGGCGTTTATTTCATCGGTGGGTAGAGTAGCGAACCTATTCAAAATAGGTACACCACACGAGCTAGCTTCACAGGGATCTTCCGATCATTGAATGCTCCGCAAGTGATTTCGTCCCATTGTGGGACACACTCACAGACACCCGAAACCGGACAACGTTTGCGAACGTTTGAAACAAACTAGAAACTTTCGAACAACTCGACAGAGCGAGCAAAACTGAATTGTACTGCTTGACGGTCAAGCAGAGGATGATGACATAGGTATAAGCTATACCACCGACAAACCGACATGACACTTAATTCTGGCTTATGCCCGATTTAGTTGTGCAGTGATCCGAACTGTCAAAACCAAAGGTTTTTTTTGATCTAGATAAAAATTATTTGTTCAGAATAGATCAGACACGAACCAATTCATAACTTTTGCATGCAGGTTCATGGCTTAGCTAAATATTTTCTGCGAACACGGAGCCAGATGTCAGTAGTGTGCTTTGGTTAAATTTTTTATTGTTTTTGCTATTGTCATTCATGTCGGTTTGTCGGTGGCTATACCACCCATAATCGCATATCAGTCCTATCTTTGCTTGATTCCCTATCAAAATGGGACTGATATGCGATTATCGGCAGTGTATTTATTTGTAGCTAAATTTTCACTTGTTTTCAAAGCACTGTTAGTTGCCATGGAATTTCCCCAAACAAACCATTAAGATTTAAGATCAGATCTACTTTAAATTTTTGACGTAGGACTACGTCTGTGATTTCTATATGAGGGTACACTATGTGAAAACCGAAAATAGAACATGTAACGAAATTATGAAAGATTTTGAACAATAATAACTCAGCTGCCCGTGGACCAATTTCAATAATTTTATCCCTAATGGATCAGAAATATTTCTACGCATCGATAACAATGCTTCTGACTGTTTATTTTGAACAAGAAACTATTGAAACGTGGTAAATGTCAAGCATTGTCCAAAAGCGTCGAAATAACTAACAAATCCACCAATTACGTACATGCATATGCTGCTTCCCCTTACACAGTCATCAGAAAGTCGTTAGTAGATGAAACAAGTCGAAGTGGCATTCGCCTCCTATCTTCGGGCGTGTGTAAATAGGGAGGATGCAATTGCGCAATATTTTACACACTCATCGCCATATTCAGAACCACAATGGTGCCCCCAACGACCACACAAAATGCTCTCCAGAGTTGCAATTTTGTAACCAAACTTGAAAGCAGGGGTCCAAGTGATTTTAATACAAAAGCTTTTGTGCCGTTTTCAAATGTTACGCGAGACATATTCTATAGGTTTAGTTTGACAAACTGTGATGTTTGAAATAAACTAAAACATTAGAGTGCTTTTGTTGTCATTTTCGACAATAAAAAAATGCGGCTTTCATAGGGAAAGCTTTCCAATAATTTTTAAACCATTGTAGGTAGATCCATAAGTGTGAGAAGAGCTTGCTTACCTGAATTGTTGTTATAGTACACCTTGAATAAAATATGTATAGCTTCTTGCGCTTGAAAGGTGCATTCACTTGATCTCAATTTAACGCTATTCAATCAAGCAATCTCTATGAGAATCGCACTATGCTGAACAGCATCATGGCTGTGATATCTCTTTTACGCTTCATTCCAACATTCAGCCATTCACTGACTTTTATTCCCCATCCTGGTTCTCCACGCACGTGGCTCTATGGCGGTAATACGTCGACGTTTCCTTGAATCCCTTGCCACAGGTCTGACACAGGAATGCCTTCTCACCGGTATGGATATTGCGGCGATGGTTTTCCATGGCGCCCTTTTGGTGGAAGGTTTTCGCGCAGAATTCACAGTTGAACTTTTTCACCTCTTTGTGCAGACTTTGGTGGCGGCTAAGGTTGGCCCGGTTCGCGAAACGACTGTTGCACAGCTTGCAAGCGTACTTCTTTTCCGTTCCGTGCACCTTGACCATGTGGGTATCCAATTGGCCTCGCGAACTTTGCTGTTCATCGCAGATGACGCACTGCAACTTGGTCGATCGGGAAGTCCGCTGGTCGCAATGCTTGTAATATTTGTGCATCTGCATCTGACTAGGGGATAGAAATTTTTCCGGACAGAAGGGACACTGCGTGTACGGGTAGTCCTCCTTTGAATGATGCTCGTCGATGTGAGCTTGCAAATCCTGCGAGATGTTACTGACTGTCGAACATAGTGCGCACTTCCACAACCGTATCGTTGGACCTAATAGAATCGAAATGGAACTAACGTTAACGATTATTGGCTCACCAGTTAAAAGGGCTAGAACAGTTACCTTTTATTTTCAACTTATGTTGGGTCCTATGCCGATAATAGGTACTCTTATCCTTGAGTGGAATATTGCACTTGTTGCAATAGTAGGGCATCTCGCCCTGATGGTCGCCCTGAATGTGTTTGTTCAAATCGGTGATAATTTTGAACCGAAGTCCACACGTGTCACACTTGTACGGTTGTTCTCCCGTGTGGGTTAACATATGTCGATGCAAACTATTCCTGTAGCCAAGTTTTTTATGGCAAATCTTACACTCTATAGCTTTTTCATTTTCGTGTACAACGAGTTTATGCTCTGCGGCAGACGCTATCGAGCCAAACACTTTGCCACATTGTTCACACTGAATGTTCCGGAGTCTTTTCTTCTGCGGTAGATGCTTATCAGGTGCTCCGTGGGCTTGCGTTTCGTGTACTTCAACCGCTCTCCTGGTGCAGTATCGAAGCGTACAAAAGTTGCACTGAAGCGGTCGAATGCTTGAATCATGAAAACTGAGATGCTCGTTGTAGGATTGGATCGTTTTCAGTTGCTTCCCATCGCAGTGCGGGCAAATGTAGTCAACTTTACCGGCGTGTTCCTCCGCCAGATGTGCTATCAGGTGGTCCATATCTGCCAATTCGATTGGACAAATGTAGCATGTTTTAGCCGCGATCGTCCTGAGGGGAAACTTATTCGAAGGCGACATTTTCTGGACCTTCTCTTTCAATTTTCTCTTAACGACACTACGTTTCTTCGGCGTCGTTGGTTGGCTCACCGCAATATCCGGTTTCGCTGCTCTCTTCAAAGCCTTCAGCTTCTTAGTTTTTGTAATAACCCGTTTCCTCTCCCGGACTGGCTCTGATGGTTTATCAACCACTGCTTCATTACTCATCTCAAGTAGCATTGTCTCCTCTTCCACAATAGCTTCCTTTGGCAAGTCCTGTAGATTATCCTCTTGCTTCGAATATACTTCCTCGCTCTCCTCTTTGATTCCCTCAACGATAACCAGAATACTGTCCAACGGTTCTATCGGTTCCACCAGCTCCAAAGGAGTTTGCAACCGCAGAATGTTCTTATGCCGAGCCTCCATCATAAAGAACTGATTCTGGATCGCCCTCACCAAATCTACCTTAACCAAACATTCGCTACAAATCGAAAGAAATCGGGGATCCTCTTCAGGCTTCAAACGGATCTTTATCGTTTGCAATATAGCTCCATACAGAGACTGTCCACTAAAAGACCCATCCAGTCGATACATCTGCGAAGTCGATTCGAAGCGTTGACACAGTCGGCAACAGTCTAAATTTACGCGCTGGCCAATTCTGCGAAATCAAACAAATTCCATCGAAACAACGAATCAAAAATATATGAAAAAATCACAAAAACTCACCGATTGACAAAAACTGTAGGGTCCTGGTAGCCACCGTTGTGCGGATAGGGAAAGTGGTCGAAACAAATATGCAGTTCATCGTCGTTGGCGGCCAGGTGATTGAGATCTTTGAGTGCCTGAGGAATCGCACCGGTTCCGGCTTTAATTGCATCCCGCCAGCGTGTGCGAATGGTGCGACTCAGTGGAAATTTAACCAGCACGAACCTGCCCGAAGGGCACCGATCAATGCAACAGGGCATCTTGGCGAGGGCTTGATTTTCAGGAAATCTGGAAGCAAACTACTTACTCACGTTCAGGTCAAGCTGAGGCTAATGATTATCCTTTACACAAAAATAAGACCGATAATACCTATACGTAATTTTGAGAAAACATCTCCATAATTTAGTCAACAAAAGTTATAATATTTTGAATGGTTTGACAAAACGGCGACACCACAAACAGGGTGATCCACATAGGTCACGATTAGCATAAAAGGTGGGAACATGAGCTAAATCGGGAATCGAAAAGTAAATACTAGATGCACTCAAAAATATTACTAAACTATGATTGATTAAAATTAGATAATTTTATGAATAGGCAATATATATTATATCAGTGCCAACATTTCAAAGGGGCGTAATTGCTTTTGTAAATAATGACTTTAGCCATCAATTTCTCGCGAATGAAATCTTACCTCTTCAAAATAACAATGCTAGCTGGTAGAGGAAACATTCCTCTACCTACTGGTGTCATTATTTTTCATGAGTGAGCTCTTATTCGCGAGAAATCGATGGCTAAAGCCATTGTTTACAAATGCAATTACGCCCCTTTGAAATGTTTGCACTGATATGGTCTGAATAAGATGTGTCTTCAAAATTATACCAAGTCAGGGGAAACATGTCAGAAGGGTATAACTCGAAACGTAAACAATGACTTTCAACGTCGATTTCTCTTGAACGACCACACTCCCACGGAATCTGACTACACCAGCTCATAGAACAAACATTGCTCTGCGAGATGTTTTAGTTAGTTTGAGTGGGTGTGTTGTCATTCGTAAGAAACCGACGATCCAATTCATTGTTTACGTTTCGAGTTAGACCCTTCTGACATGTTTCCCCTGAAGTCTGTATAACAGTGTGGAATTTGTCCATTGTATTTGTTTTGACAAGCTGCTTCTTGCTGCAAATTCAACATAACCATTTTAAGAAGAGAAAAATTGACATCTTGCTTCTTCCAGATTCATTAAAATGTCTCAAGATTCAAAAGAATAGTAAAAAACAATTCAAGCTAAAACAGTTATTTTGCTACTGAAGATAAATCCAATGCTGAACTATTCACCTATTCTCGAGAATAAGTGGTTAAGTTCAAAGAGTATACCCCGTACAGACTATGGCTTAAATCATGCAATATAGGCTGTCTTGCAATGAGCACTCATACATCTAGTTTTCACTGGAAATCCTATGTATGAGTGCTCATTGCAAGACAGCCTATATTACATGATATAAGCCATAGCCTGTACGGGGTATAAAAGTAACCAACGAGGAAGTTAAAGTTAGTTGTATTATACAATATTTTAAAATTCATTAAAAGCTTCTCTGGTATACTTCAAGATATTCTATTCTTAAAAAAAATTGCTTGATAAAGGAATTTTAAAAGTCTGATAATTCCAGGTTTTTCCAGGTAAAATGAAGATTCCAGAATTTTCAGGCTTTCCCAGGTAGTAGACACCCTGTTCAACTCTACTGGCCGTGATATTTTACTTCTAGAATCTATGAAACAAACCTCTATCGGGTGCTTTATAACGTTGACATCATTGCTCGTTTATTATTCTGCATCCTGCTTCTCCATGCACGTGGCCTTATGGCGATAGTACATAGACGTTTCTTTGAATCCCTTTCCACAGCCCTCACACTCAAATGCTTTCTCACCGGTATGGACGCTGCGGCGATGGTTCTCCATGGCCACCTTTTGATGGAAGCTTTTCGCACAGAACTCACAGGCGAATTTCTTCACTTCTTTGTGCAGGTCCTGGTGGCGGATTAAGTTTCTTTCGATCGTGAAACGGCTGTCGCACAGTTTGCAGGCGTACTTCTTCTCCGCCCCGTGCACTTTGGTCATGTGGGAGTCCAGATGGTATCGCGTGCGCTGCTGATCACCGCAAATGGTGCACAGCAGCTTGGTCGATCGGGAAGTCCGCTGGTCGCAATGCTTCGTGTACTTGTGCATATGCATCTGATTAGGGGTTACAAATTTATCCGAGCAAAAAGGACAGGGCGTGTAAGGGTAGTCCTGGCTCGGATGCTGCTCGTCGATGTGAGCTTGCAGATCCGGCGGCGATTCAAATGTTATCGGGCAAAGACCACACCTAAAAGTCCGTTTTGCTGGACCTGCGGAAAGTGAAGTTGAATCATTGATTAAGTCGTTCACTCGTAAATGAGACAATTTACCTTGTTTGAATTTATGCTGAGTTCTATGCCGCTGGTAGGCATTCTTGTCTTTCAGTGGAAGATTGCACTTGAAGCAATAGTAAGGCATCTTGCCCTCATGATCGCTTTGAACGTGCTTATTCAAATCGGTGACAATTTTGAACTGGAGCCCACACGTGTCACATTTGTAGGGATGCTCCCCTGTGTGAGTTAGCATGTGTCGGTTCAGGTTGCTTTTGTGACTGAATGCCTTAAGGCAAATCTTGCATTGCGCAGCTATTCCCTGCTGGTGTACAACCAACTTATGCTCTTGGATAGACGATGTCGAATTGAAAACCTTACCACAATGTTCACACTGAATCTGTCGGTTTCTTTTCTTCTGTGGCTGATGCTTACGGGGGGCTCCATGTGCTCGCGTTTCATGTACTTCTAGCCCCTTCCTTGTGCTGTACCGAAGCGTACAGAAGTTACACTGAAGCGGTCGACCACTTGAATCATGCAAACTGAGATGACCGTTGTAGGATAGGACCGTTTTCAGCTGCTTCCCATCGCAGTGCGGGCAAATGTAATCAATTTTACCAGCGTGTTTCTCCGTCAGGTGTGCCAGCAGATGTTCCGCATCTGCCAATACCGTTGGACAGATGTAGCAAGTTTTCGCCGCAACCGTGCGCAAGCGGATCGTCTTCAAAGTCGATATTTGATGGACCTTATCTTCAACTTTTCTTTTAACGACCACACGTTTCTTCGGCTTAACAGCATCACTTTCATCTACTTTTACTTCGCCTTGCTCCTCTAACTTTATAACCAACTGCGTGTCCGCCTGTACAGTTTTGTCACCCATATTAGCTTTCATTTTCTCATCCTTTACAATAGTTTCTTCAGATAATCCTTCTTCCTTAATTATCATCTCTTCGCCGATAACCATATTATTTACGGCAGGTTCCACCAGCTCCAAAGGAGTTTGCTCTTGCAGAAAGCACCCATGGCATGCTGCTAGTATGAGGTACTTATTTTGAATTACCTTCACCAAATCCACCTTCACCAGACAGCTGTGACAGATCGAAAGAAATCGTGGATCCTCTTCCTGTTTCAAACGAATCTTCATCGTTTGCAGTATAGCCTCATTGAGATGCTGCCCACTAATTTTGCCATCCAGTGAGTACATCTGCGAAGTTGATTCGAAACGATGGCACAGACGGCAACAGGTTAGATCCACCCGCTTTCCAGTGCTGGAAAAAGTTACTTTTATTGTATTTTGCATTTCTAACTTGACTCCTCACAAGTGCGGAATCGCTGATAAAAGTGGTGTCTTCTTATGAACTAAGGAAAAATTGTGCCGAAGGCACTAACACGATTTAACAAAAAAGCGCTACCTACATAGGGGAAATGTCTCTAATGTTGGCCTATCTAAGATTGGGCCCATCGCTAAAAATCTGCTATTTATCAATTTTATCTAGATGAACGCGTTATTGGGACGTTACTAATGGATATTTTTGGTTGCTATTGAAAATTTTGTCGATTGCTGAATTTTTGTATGGGCCCAAATTAGGGACACTTAGGCCGACATTACCTGCATTTCCCCTATTTAACTTTTACTACTAACAGATCGTCAAAACTCACCGATTGACGAAAACCGTCGGATCCTGGTAGCCACGATCGTTCGGGTCGGGAAAGTGACCCAGACAAATCTCCAGATCCAGTTGAGCACCGGTGGCATTGTATCTTTTCATTTTGCCCAAAGCATTCTTGCTCCAAGGGTCCTTTAGGTCGCTGAGCGCGGAAGGAGTCGTACCGGTTCCGGCTTTGATAGCATCCCGCCAGCGTGTCTGAATTACGAGGCTCGGTGGGAATTTGACTAACCCAAATTTACCCGGAGGACACTGGTCGATGCAGCAGGGCATAGCTGAAAGATGGCTTTTTAAAGAAAAAGCTTCCAAAATGTCCAAAACAGTTACCTTTTTTTTCGTGGATTTCTAGAAAAACAGAATTTGGAAAAAATGTCCGTGTTGTTTGACAACAAAATCTTTTTTGACAAAACTAACAGGGTGATCCGAACAATGATACCCACGACATTCTCAAGATGGGTAGAAACCCTGCATAAAGGTGGGAACATATCATCAGCTTCCCTAAAATGTGTGTACACAGCAAAAAAAATGTAATATCGATCAATGTAATTCAAGCTGATGTATTAAATAATGATGTAATCGAGGATGTAATAGCAGAAAGCAGATATAATATTAAATCAATGGATGTAATTTTGCTCGCAAAATCGATGTACATCGTATTGCGCGTTTCACACCAAATTGGACTAATAAGCGCGTTTTCACTTATTAAAAAGTGTGATAAAACTACAAATTTGCGTCTAATCGTCTTGGTGTCTTCGGTGCACTTATTTCTTATGATGCAAGCAATAAATGCTCCCAAGACATCAAAACGATTTGACGGAAACGTGCACTTTTATCACACTTTTTACATTTTTGGGACAGTCCATGGTTTCAGATGCAATCAGCAATACAACCATAGAGGTAACTCTAAGACCACTGGGTCCCGAAGAAAATCATTATTATTTTTGGCTCACTCAGTACCAGAACAACGGTCCCAAGCAGTCCCAAGCTATTTCACTCACCCCTGCATGTTCTGCATGAATCCACACACCCCTGATTTTATTTGTCAAACTTTCATAGCGAATCAAAACTAACATAGTGTAGTAATAGAATTTCAACTAGAATAGGGTACGTTAATCGTTTGCTTGGGACCAATAGGCTACTAAATTGGTGAGCCAATTTAAAATCGTTAGTTTCGTATTGATGTTGATACAACGTTATATTACATAACCGATGGATTGACCTGGTTGCAGCAGTTTGGATGTAATATTCAACAACTTTTTTTCTGTGCAAGCTCGGTAATGGCGGCCTGTTTGTTTGCATAAATTTATCCTTCCCCATGGTGGGTATATAAATGGTGATACAGATTTGTCACTATATAGGGGAGGAGGTCACGGGGGAGGGGGAGGAGTGCGGTTTTAGAGCAAATTGTAAACAAACTCGGTCACTGTCCCATACAAAAATCCAACATTCAGCCATGAATTTGACACCTATATGTAGTTATCTTGTCCTTCACTGTGCTTTTTGACACTAACTGGAGGGCGTATGTTGTTCCATTTTCTTCTGTTCCTGGAAGAGGGTAAGAGAGGGGTCAAGATCTAAACATCCAGGTCGGACTGGCTGGTTTTAAGCCAAACTGTAAAAGCCAGAGCCAATCGAACAACGTCTATCTTGATTGCATTGGCAGTATTGCTAGAAATCACCTAGGTATAGGTTGCCAAGGCAGTTTATTTTGAATCAGCTCCTCTCTTATACTAGTTTACGGCCACCTCCGGTCTAGGCGAGTAAAGGCCGGCGCACATTAGATACGTTTTCGGGTTTTTTGACAGATAATGCATGGGCTAACTGTCAAAAAACCTGAAAACGTATCAATTGTGCGCCGGCCTTAAGAGAGGTGCCACAGTTGGAAGAAGTGTTAGTTTGTTTACTAAAATGAACCGCCCATTTTGTTATGGCAAGTTTTGCTATCCAGCTTTCCATGCTCGGTAATACACACAAAAAACAAAAATTGTACCAGTAAAAATATTGACCTTTCAATTTAAAAGTATCAACAAATTCGTTACCCTAACTACGAAGATATTTATTTTAACAATGTAATTTTCAATTCAAAAACGAATGTTTTGATTTTATCTTGTAGATTTAAAAGCGCAAATTTTCAAATCGAAAATTGTTTTACTGTCAAAATTACTTCTTCATGGGTAGATTTCTACCTTTTATGGGTTACTCTACGCTAGCGTGAGTAGATAAAGACAAAACGCGCCAAACAATAGGTGGAACATTTTACCGACCCATGCAACAGTTCAGTATTGAAATTATTCCCTGTCTCGATCAAGAATAAAATATTGTATCTTTCAGTAGAATCCGGTCGTCCATTAGAACGTGAAAACCTACCTGGAACTACCTGAAGGACGTCTATACGGCTCTAGAAACGAGCAGCTCGCCAATGCCGGTAGTGGAATGGAACACGAACACAAGAAACTCTCGAACAGACGCAAACCTCCGACAAAGATTCCAGTAAGTGACCTTAAATTTCCTCCTGCTTTGACAAGATTATTTCAGATTACCCCTCACTTTTACACTCTCATTAATTTCTATATACCATTCTAGATTAGATCCACGACGCTTCGCTGGCTGCTTCCCACAGAGAACATGTCCTCAGCGAAGCCACCAGTTAACTGAGTTTTGTTGCTCCGTACTGGACCATAACAGACATGGATGATGCAGTTCAAAATCTGACTGCTGCTATGCGACGTCTATCTAACCATACAAAAATCTAATAATTATCATAGAAACTGTAAAAACATTCAATATAAAAACATAAATTTATTTTTGGAACATGAAATTGTAGCACAAAAATAGGAATTTTATAATTAATAGATTTTTAAATGAAAAATTTGATTGTTATGATTGAAAATGCTGGTATTCATACTGAAAATAGTGATTTTTTTAATTCGAAATGGTACATATTATTGTAACAGTAAGGAACTTTTATGTTAATAGTTTGTTTTGGTTAAAAAATAATCGACTTTTAATTTCAACACTGTGATGCTTTTGATTTGACAGTAGTACAATTCATTTTGAAAGTTCAAACTTTTAAAAGTATTGAGTGGACTACTTTTGATTTGACTGTTGGCTAACTTTTATTTTGAAAGCTAACCGCTTTCTACCAAAAAGAACCAACGCAAACTGTTAATTCTACCAACGATTTTTTTAATTTCATCAACGATAATTTTTTGTGTGTCCTGTTTGTATGAATAAATGTATCCTTCACTGTGCTATCTGGAGGTTCGGATTTTGACTCCTCCCTTTCCCTGTCCCAGGAACAGAAGAAAATGGAACAACATACGCCCTCCAGTTAGTGTCAAAAAGCACAGTGAAGGATACATTCACAGACAAACAGACATAACACTCGCAAATTGTTCATCGAACAAGCATTTAACGGTCAATTTAAAAGTATCGTAGTTGGTAGTACCGCCACCTGTGGCGCGCATAGTCAATTCCCTTGCGTTTGACGTTTACACACTACCGCCATCTGTTCAGCGTACTACCCACCACTGTGTATTCAACAGATGGCGGTAATGTTTTAGCGACGATGTTTAACAGTGAGAAATATTCAATGTGTTATGTCTGTTTGTCTGTGATACATTTATTCATACAAAAAGGCCGCCATTACCGAGCATGGAAAGCTGGATAAGAAATGCTCCTCGTGTTTATTAGCGAAATTCACATCAAAGATTGATTAATTGCGTAGGAAATCAGTTTGGCACGGCATTTGTGACCAGCATACACCCAACCGGTGAACACTCGTGTGTATTTCAGTTACCGTGGGGGCGTAATTTGTGATTAGCCTCGGTCCCTTTCAAATTGTATCATTATTTATGTACGGTCCTTAATATTTGAAATGATGTTTCGCATTCATCTAGTGATGGCCGATTTTCATTCGAATAATCGATTAATCGACTAACGAACCAAACAGTAACATATTTGTAATCGGTTATATCATGCCGATATAAGCATTAACTTCTGCAGAGGATCATCACCGATCGTTTCAAACAAGTTTTGCACTCTCATTGGTGGAAAAATGACTGCACAGCGAACAAAAAATAATCGATTAGTTGTTAATCGAGTAATTAAAAATTGGGACATCTCTGATTTTGGTGTGATTGTTTTGATAAAAAAGCGCGCAAAATTTCATCTCTACCGAGGGGGCAGCAAAACCACAAAATTACCTTGCATACTGGGGGTATTCATTGGATGAAAGGGACCGTGAAAGAGAACACTAAAATAGAAAGTTTTTCTTCCGACAGTTTCATCTTAGTATTCATCTTTGATACACCTTCCGGTCGTATGAAACAGGTCAAAAACTGTCCAAATCCGCAGATAAAATTGTTTGTTTTGAATTTCTGTAAAGCACAATAGTGAACTTTTCGTGAACATTAACGGCAAAGAACTCACCAACACTGGGAGACCGTGAGTTCCTGCCCACCTGTCTTAAAAACATCTCGACCTCCGGTGAAGTGAAAATCGATCGAAACGTCAAATACACTCTCTCTCTCTCTCTCTCTCTCTCTCTCTCGAAACGCTTTTCACGAGCATGTGCATGTGTGAAAAAAGTACACGTAAGCGAAAAACATGCGATCTGCAACATCGTATCTGTTCTGTTATCTGTATCTGTTAACATCGGTTCAAAGCGAAGTGATTTTTTTACGAATTGCGTTTTTTTTCACGCAGGTGAAAAAATCTAAATAGACATTAAAATTAAAAAAAAAAACCGTTAATTTGCACGAAGCATTGTTTAGATTGACGAGAGTCCACGGTATACCCTAAAATCGTAATTCTAACTACGAAAATATTTAATACAACAAGGTAATTTCAAACCAAAAATAAATGTTTTGACTTCAACTTGACACCTCAAAATCACAAATTTTCAAATCGAAAATTGTTCAACTGTCAAAATTGCTTCTTTATGGGAACCCAGAAATGGCAGTTGTTGAATAAACGTGTAAAACGCGAAAAACGGAAGGGGTTTCAACCTCATTTTAAAAGTAAAAGTTATCCCCGAAAAGTGTCCAGATCTGAATTTTAACTGTTTGCAAAATGAAACCCGCGTATTTTTGCACCCATGGAATGTTGAATGCTTCACCGAGCGATAAAATCAAGCCGGAAGGAAAAGAGCAGTTTTCTTTGAGTGGAAGAAGGGGATCAGGCGGACGGGAGTTCGGCACTGCATGATTCGGAGGAATTGGCCAATATGTGAGTCATCTGGGCGTTGTTAAGAAAGTGGTCACCAGCAAGCATGTACACAATTTCACAGATGAGTGGGGATTATACGAGCGTAAGAACGAGAAGGAAACTGCTCAACTGATGGCTTGCCATGGACTCAAATCGACCAAGTCCAACCAAACCTCCCACGTGCAGAAAGTTTATGTGACCACAGGGACATTTTTTCGTTAAACGGCTCGTTTCTACTGTCTCTTCACAGTGCTTCCATCTTAGAATCTGGTGATTTGGCCAGCAAATCGATCTTTCCGGCTGAACAACTGAGCAAACGATTCTCAGATAGTAGCACAAACGAAGTGACAGACGACTAACTGGCGAAGAAATCCATTTAAATAATGTGGTTCACTGTAATAGAATTTTCTTGGAAGCTTGTGCCATCATCCACCAGATGGGTTAGTTTTTTTGTTTTGATTTGAACAAAGTTGATTTTGTGTACAATGATTCTTTGACAGTGTGCAAAGAGTGCGTATCATTTTGTCATTTTTTTATGCATTTCAGTTTTGAGTAGAGTGAAAGAGATAGAACCAAAACATTCTAGTACATTTGGTGAAAATGCTAGTTCAATCTAGTAGTAGTGTTGCCATGTGGTACAATCCAGTAGTAGTGGTGTTGCCATGTGGTACACTGAAAAATTGCAATAGCAGGTTAGTCACCAAAGTTTTCGAGCCGCTCCGTCTGTCACTTCGTTTGTGATAGTAGTTTCCGGTGCTCTTGAATGACCCACCAACCGGTGATTAGGATTCCATTCGAATGCTCAATTCTGCCCATCTTTCCGCTAAACGAACTTGGACCACAAACGAAGTGACAGACGACTAACTGGCGAAGAAATCAATTAAAATAATGTGGTTCGCTGTAATACAATTTTCTTAGAAGCTTGTGCCAACAGCCACCAGATGGGCTAGTATGTTTGTTTTGATTTGAACATAGTTGATTTTGTGTGCAATACGATCTTTGACAGTGTGCAAAGAGTGTATCATTTTGTCATTTTTTTTTATGCATTTCAGTTTAGAGTAGAGTGAAAGACATAGAACCAAAACATTCTAGTACATTTAGTGTTGCCATGTGGTACAATCCAGTAGTAGTGGTGTTGTCATGTGGTACACTGAAAAATTGCATTGGCAGGTGCGTCACCAAAGTTTTCGAGCCGCTCCATTAGTCACTTCGTTTGTGCTTGGACTGTAAAGGGCTGCACCTGCCTGCAGTCTGGATATCTGAGACATCAAGTGCAAATCGCCCTTGGACAATGCCGTCATTCCAATCCACATATTTATTATCGCAATGTTGTAAATTAACATTGAATGTTAACTAATAAACATATATATGAACCATTATATCAAATAATAAAACTTTTAATTTAATATTCATCAGAGTTAAAAATGCTTTTAATGTTAACAGTGCCAGTGGGCAACTTTTGATTTCAAAATGGTGAGGAAAATTGTCTAACTTTCGTTTTGAACGCTAACCGCTTTCTACCAAAAAGAACCAACGCAAACTTTTAATTCTATCGAGGGTTTTTTTTTATTCGAGCTACGATTTTTCTATGTGTGTACCTCATATTACTGAATTCGGTATAAACATGAAAAAATCGAATGTTTTTCAATTTATTAGTTTTACCGAGTGATTTCCACTAATACCCCGTTCACATTACAGCGTATATCACGTGATATACGCTGTCTTGCAATGAGCACTCATACATCTAGTTTTCACTGGAAATCCTATGTATGAGTGCTCATTGCAAGACAGTCTATATTACGTGATATAGGCTGTAATGTGAACGGGGTATAAGAAAAGTACCGAACATCCAGTATGCGATTAATAAGCATAGAGGTAACTCTAATACCCCGTTCACATTACAGCGTATATCACGTGATATACGCTGTCTTGCAATGAGCACTCATATATCTAGTTTTCACTGGAAATCCTATGCATGAGTGCTCATTGCAAGACAGCCTATATTACGTGATATAGGCTGTAATGTGAACGGGGTATAAGACCACTGGGTCCCGAAGAAAACCATTATTATTTTTGGCTCACTCAGTACCAGAACAACGGTCCCAAGCAGTCCCAAGCTATTTCACTCACCCCTGCATGTTCTGCATGAATCCACACACCCCTGATGTTATCTGTCAAACTTTCATAGCGAATCAAAACAAACATAGTGTAGTAATAGAATTTCAACTAGAATAGGGTACGTTAATCGTTTGCTTGGGACCAATAGGCTACTAAAGTGGTGAGCCAATTTAAAATCGTTAGTTTCGTATTGATTGTTGGTATAAGTGTGTTTGTAACAAGGTTTGTAATTATCGTAGTTTTTTTGCCCGTTACGCAACATAATTTTTCCCACCTTTATTAAACCTTTTCAATAGGTGCATACGGGTCTCATTCCGTTTTCATTACCATTCCTCTTTTGGTGCTCGATAGAGTGAATGAAAAGAACCAAAACAAAGGTTGTTCTTTCTCTTTCTTACTTACTAACTTTTCAACTCAAGCATTGTCATGCAGACTCAGTAAGTGTAAACTGGTGAGGCCCAAAGAATTTGTCATCTCTTTCGTTCCTCCGCTGTTTAAAGGTTGACGGAGTGGAGTCACATTCTGTCAACTATTTAAACAACATGAGAACGAAAGAGACGACGAATTCACATTGCCTCATCTGTTTACATTGCATTGAAGCAGATTCCACCAGCATCTCTCACTCTCAGGCCACCACTAGATGATGCGTTTTTGGTGTTGATTATTAGTTTTTTTAAAGTTTACTTGCGGAATCTGTCCAGTTAAACGTAAATTTTAACCGATTTTTACAACTGTTTACAAACCAAAAAAGCGGAAACCGTACACAGTTGAATGTAGTGTTATAGTGTCTTCGAGTTTGCGAAGGGCCCGGAATTAAAATGAGCACTCCGACCAATTGGCTGACATGCCGAACCTGCTGCAAAAAGGAGCGGGCTAAACACATTCCTGTAGATGCCATCGATCAGAATGGCCTACCGATTGCGGAGATGATCTATCAGATTACAGATATTATGGTAACGCTGGATTCGCATCTACCGCAGCAAATCTGCCCAGCTTGTTTGGATGAACTCCGGATGGCACACAACTTCCGGCAGAGATGTATTAATTCCAACACGACCTTGAGCAGGCAAATTCCGAAATTGAGTGTGTAAGTTCTGTTTTTTTTACTATTGGTGGAAGATCGAAATACCTACATCTAGGTTGTTATATTTCAGAGTCAATCCCCTACGTAGCGATGCGCAACTAGCGCTGATGGTGAAGGAGGAACATTTTGATACAGAGTTGGAAGCGGAGGAAGAAAGCCTTTACAATTTGATTACGCCTGAAGTCCAAAAGCCGGTTGAGATTCCGCAACAGGTTGGAGAGTACCTGAATAAAACCACGACGCCAATGAAAGGCCGGACTGTTAAAAGAAATCAACGTACCCTGCAATCGATCGCAAATGAACACATCAGATTAGTCAATAAGAGATATGCTTGCGCCATAAACGATGACATCGAATGCGGGTATGCCCAGAAGAAATATGATCCCAACAATTTCGTTCGCCATTTTCGATCGAAGCACAGACAATCCGCCCTGAAACTAGGCCTGCTGATCGATTCCGGGGAGGAGGAAAACCCGGAGAAAAAGCTAAGAATCATTTCGAAGCAGGTGATAGAGATGGATGCGAAGCATTTGATCGAAACCAGCATCAAGTTGGTCACCTTTCACAATCTACCGTTGAAGTGCTTTGAGTGGGAAGGGTTCCAAGGTATTTACAAACCGTTGATGGAACCGATGGGATTGGTAATAAAGAGCGAAGGAATCGTCCGATGCATACGCAGTACTGTTGAACTGATGATTGCTCGAATACGCAAGGAAATAAGCTTAAAGCTTTTGTCGATTCTGGTTGACTCCGCTGTACGCCATGGACAGCATGTTCTGACAGTGAGTTCTCAGTTCGAACTTCATCATGTCGTTGAGACACGGGTGCTAGGCATAATCTGGGTAAAGGCCGGTCAGACCGCTAAGCAGCTGAAATGGAAGGTGGAGGAAATTCTGAATCTGTATGAAATATCAAACGGGCAGATTTTCGCTATCATTGTGGAAAATGGAACCAACATGCTTACCACGGCGAAGAAGCTGCATAAAAGTTTTCGGGATACCGCACGGGATAACGTCGGCGAAGACACCGATGGCAGCGAAATGGACAAAGTGGACGAACTATTAGAAGCCTTGTCGGCCGAGCTCCGAGAGCAGTTCAATGTCATACGGGGCCCGATCCGGAATCTACATCTCGCACTGAACGACGTGCTGCCCGATACCGATCAGAACATTTTTCGTTTCAACAGATTTGCTCGCGACCTGCGTGACACCAAGTATGACGATTTTTTCCATAGCAAGAAGGAATCCTACCCGCCGGTATGTACCGGGAACCGCTGGACCTCCAAGTACAAACTGATTCGAAGCATCTTCAAACAGAAGCATTTGTTCACCGAACTTGCTCAGAAGAATCCAGAAATTGGTAAGTTACGCCCGGCGTTCATTTTTTTATTTGCTTGTTGGTAATCGCATTTTATTCGCAGTCTTGCACGACCACGAGTGGCAGTACGTGCAGGAGTTCATCGATGCTTTCCAACCGCTGTACGACATCACGAAACGGATTCAGAAAAAGCATCACCCCTTTTCCGAGTTCTACATGCAGTGGCTGATGGCGATCAAGGAGCTCCGCAACAAGACGAATAATCGCTTCTCGAAACCGTTGACCGAGTCGCTCACCAAACGGGTGACGGTGCTGCGGGAGAACATGGCCTTCAAGGCGTGCATGTACGTGGACCCGCGCTTCAACTACTGCGAGTCGGTCGTGTTTACGCTGGAGCAACGGGACGAGATGAAGGTAGGTGGTGCTTTTTGTTAGGTCTAATTCAGCGAAATGGTTTTTGAAAAATACGGTTAGAACGAAAACAAGAATACGGGTGAACATCGGTTTCTGATGGCATCAAAGGCGATGGAACTCTGCATTCGAGATTCATTCAAATCATCAGTTGATCAAGAACTCCTGTTTTTGAGTTTCTGCTCGTTTTCGCACGCCAGACTTATCTAAAGCACTCAAGTAAAAGCTGTAAAAGTATGGACGACTGTCACACACAAAACGGAAAAGAGTTGTGTTCCAATCGAGCAAAGCAATGCGTTTCGACGGTTCGATTGGAGCAGCTTTTGACAGACGTCCATACTTTTACTTAGAGGACTTTAGACTAATCGGGTTCGATCGCCGTTGTGTCTCTCGGTGTCGATCACTTTGTTTATTGTCTGCAGCTCGGAAGGTACGAAGGTACCCGACCGCGTTGGCGCTAAGGAGATACCAGCATACCGAAAGGCAGCATTTTTGAAAAGGCTGAATTCTCGAATGGCAGAATCCCAGAATGCCGAATTCCAAAAGACCGAAAAGGGCACGCGCGGGTTAAGTAAACCTTCGCTCGCTACGGTCCACTTGCCCCGCGCTATGCTATCTTATAGTCAGTTACTCTTGCCGGTGGAAAACAGAAGAAAACTTTCTGTTGAATACTCTGCAGTCCGCAAATCGCACCGTATGCTCCATAATTTGTGCGACGTAGAGGCAGTCTTAGCATAAGGTTAGTACGAAGCTATCGGGGTTGAACATTCAGGTCAATTTGTCTCAGGATAGCTTCGCAATCTGTCCTTCTTTGCAGTATATCGGCCACGGTTAGGACTCTGCTTGCGTCTCTTCTAGTCCGGAGAAGTCCTAGGTCGATAAGTTGACAACGACTTTCGTAACTGGGTAATCGAAACGGATCATTCCAAGGCAATCTACGCAAATCTCTCTGCATCGTTGTTTGTATTTGTATTTAAAATAATTCATCTGACAATTTAGTCTTAATGAATAAAATTAAAGCTAATTTAACACAAACCTAATCCGATTTGCAAAACGTCCAGTTGGTTCATTGAACTCGAAAAACTCGTCGACAGCCGAAAACGCACGAATACACGTTGAGATTGGTTCGTTGTTCCCAAACATGGTTCGGTTAAAACTTGTGTTGCAGTAACGTTGTATTCCGAAGAGATCTGCCTTAGCACACGAAACTTCAACATTGCAAGCAGTTCGGGGGCATCAGTTTCACCATTCAACAGCTTAGCAATAAGCAACGATTGCTGTACTTTCAGTCGTCGTTCCAGTGTGTCTAAGCCCAACAGTCGGCATCTATCAGGATACGACGGCCATTTGTCAGGATCACTCCACGGCAAGTTTCTCAGTGCCAGACAAATGAACCGTTTCTGAACCCATTCGATCCTTAGGCCACAGACAAACAGACATAACACATTGAATAGTTTTTACTGTAAAACATCGTTGCTAAAACATTACCGCCATCTGTTGAATACACTGTGGGCACTACGCTGAACAGATGGCGGTAGTGTGTAAACGTCAAACGCAAGGAGATTAACTATGCGCGCCACAAGTTGCGGTACTACCAACCACGATACTTTTAAATTGTCCGTTAAATGCTTGTTCGATGAACAACTTTCGAGTGTTATGTCTGTTTGTCTGTGCTTAGGCACCACGTGACATGGTGACTATTCGATGGACGACGATGGACGCATGTTCCAAAATTTGACGGACAAGTGCACAGTACAATGACTTCCAACAATGTGGGTCCGAAAAATCCTTCGCAACTTTTGAAATAAAGCCCAACTGTCGCGTTGCTTTCGGTATGATCGCTGAACGGTGTCAATCAAAAGTCATTTTTGAGTCAAGTTGAACGCCCAGATCAGCCACACTGGTAAGCACGCAAACGAAGTGACAGACGACTATCTGGCGAAGAATTCAATTAAAATAATGTGGTTCACTAGAATTTTCTTAAAAGCTTGTACCATCATCCACCAGATGGGCTAATATTTTAGTTTTGATTTGAACAAAGTTGATTTTGTGTGCATTGATCTTTGACAGTGTGCAAAGAGTGTATCATTTTGTCATTTTTTATGCATTTCAGTTCTGAGTAGAGTGAAAGCGATAGAACCAAAACATTCTAGTACATTTAGTGTTGCCATGTGGTACACTGAAAAATTGCAATAGCATGTTCGTCACCAAAGTTTTCGAGCCGCTCTGTCTGTCACTTCGCTTGTGATGCTACCATACCATACACGTCTATAGACGTAACTCTAAGACCAGAACGTCCCGAAGAAATGTGCTCAACTTTTTGGCTAAGCTCTGGTACTCTCTTCGGTGTCAAGCTAATCAATGCACCCCTCGAAACATAGGAAAATTCACGAACCCCTCATTTCATCTGTCAAACTTTCATAGCGAATCAAAACAAACATTGTGTAGTAGTAGAATTTCGACTAGAATGGGGTACGTTAATCGTTTGCTTGTGATCAATAGGCTAGTCAAGTAGAGAACCAATTTAAAATCGTTTGTTTCCACCGTTTTACTACTGTTCTTGCCGTTCTAAGAGGAAGAGGAGACAATTGGCTTCTTACTCTTTTATCTCTATCTATATCTATCTCTATCCTACTCTGTAACTGGAAAGTACCCATTAATGGGTGAAAAAGTCCCCATTTCGCGGTAAAGTAGGTAAACTCATAAAATGGGTAAAACGTCTTTACCCACTAATAGGTAAAGAGCTTATAAGTCAAATCATGGGGTACTTTTTACCCATTTTCAGAATGCATTTTTTTTCCGTAACTGGGTATAAAAAATACACATTTTTTAAAATGTATTTATGGGACTCAAATTGTGGAATGAAACAAATATGCTTTTAACAACAGACGCAAGACGCAAAAAACGTAAATTAGTAATTAGTAATAGTGATCATGATGATGTTGTTTTTCAAGAAAATGCGAGTTTTGCGGATGTTGTAAAAAGACATAGTCGTGCTAGTCAAAGTAAAACTAATAGTAACAGTAATAGTAAAAGTAACAAACCAGATAATCGTAAGACTCGTCCGGTCATTGTGATTAAACCGAAAGAGTCCAAACAACCTTGCGAAGATACTCGTAAGTTTTTGAAAACTCAGTTGGATCCAAAAACACACAAAATCAGTAATTTTAGGAATGGTAAAGATGGCTCCATTATTGTTGAGTGTGCAACAGGAGCAAACGTAAGTGATGTGAAAAATGGTATTGAAAGCAATCTGGGTGAAAAATATAGTGCTGTTGTTCCCACTTCGGTGCCAAGATTGAAAATAGTGGGCATGAGCGATCAGTTTTCCTCCGATGTCTTTATTGACTACTTAAAAAGTCAAAATGAAGACATCGCTATTAATGATGTAAAAGTAGTGAACATGTTTGAAAATCCACGCTTCACTTATAACAAGTTTAGTGTTGTAATTGAAGTCGATGTCGAAACTTATAAATGTTTGTTATGTGTGAAAAAAGTAAATGTAGGGTTTGATCGGTGCTCGATAGTTCCCGCGATTAATGTGTTGAGATGCTTCAAATGTGGAGAATTTGGGCACAAGAGCATGGATTGCAAAAATTGTGATAGATGCTCTAGGTGCAGCCAACAACACAAAACGTCGGAGTGTACGTCAACTGTATTGAAATGTATTAATTGTTTGAAAATGAACAAAGAACGAAAAATGAACTTGGACGTCAACCATGCCGCATTTAGCTCGGAATGTTTGCTCTATAAAAGACTTTTTGATCAGAAGAAAAGCAGCTTGCGTTTCAATAAATAGCAGCCAAGTTCCAGGAATGTGAATCAATTCGATTTTTTATACTTGAATATTGCGGGGTTGTCAACAAACTACGTAGCATTACGTCAGATTGTTGAGGAAAAACGTCCTCTTTTAGTTTTATTATCTGAAACTCATATTGTAGAAACTGAAGCTTTTGATCAGTATAGTATTCCGGGATATATTGTTGCTGCTTGTTTATCACATTCTAGACACACTGGCGGTGTTGCTATTTATGTCAAAGAATCAGTTCAATTCAACCTTCGTACCAACGAAGTTATTGATGGCAACTGGTTCTTGGGCATTACAGTTGTACGTGGCATGAAGACGGGTAATTATGGTGTTTTGTTCTAGTGACCAGCGTTTTGTTGAAGTTTTAGAGAACTGGCTTGAGACATTCCTTGATTCTAGTAAATTAAATATATTGGCTGGTGATTTTAATATTAATTGGCGTGATAACCATAATTCGAATCATTTGAAGCGTTTAGCTGAGTTTTTTAATTTAAAGCAAACGGTAAATGAGTATACGCGTATTTCCAGGCACAGTAGAACTTTAATTGACCACGTTTATTCCAATTTTGATTCCATTTGTTCAGTTACGGATACTGATTTGAAAATAACCGATCATGAGACTTTAGTGATTAATGTCTTAGACCATGTTAACGATAACGATAATTTTGTAAAATTGAAGTGCTGGAGGAAATATTCGAAGCAAGCTGTTTCAAACCTTGTTGAGAGAAGCTTGGATTTTCCATTCGCGGACGGTAACTTAGATGAATCTACAGCTGTTCTTAATAACGCTTTGAAAACGTGTACCAATCAAGTAGTTGAGCAAAAGTTTGTTTCTTTGAAAAACTGGAACAGCTGGTACAATTTGGATCTTTTGCGTCTTAAACGGAAAAGGGACAAATGGTACAAAAAGTTTTGTAGATCTAATAATGACAATCATTGGACTAGGTACACAATCGCGCGTAATCGATTTCACAATCGATAAAGAAAACTCGTTGTGAATATGTTCAAAGGAAGATTGATCAGCATCAAAACAACAGCAAAGAGTTGTGGAAAATTTTGAAATCTTTATTAAAACCTAGTAATTGCAAACCGCGGTCCATAACTTTTAGTGGCACATTAGAACAGTCAGAACAAGTAATTGCATCTAAGTTTAATGATTATTTTGTCGAAAGTGTTTCATTGATTAATCAATCCATTGTATTGGTCGATGAACCTGACGAAATAAAACAGCCAGTTAATAGTAGTTGCAAATTTGAAGTTTTTCACCCAATCACATTAGATGAACTTAGAGTTATTTGTTTTTCATTAGGAAAATCGGCTGGAGTAGATAATGTTAATGCTAGAGTTATTCAAGATTGCTTTCATGTCATTGGCCACATCTTGCTGGACCTTATTAATGAATCATTGCAGAATGGACATGTACCACAAATTTGGAAGGAATCCTTAGTGGTTCCTATTCAAAAAGTTGCGGGAACGATTAAAGCCGAAGAGTTTCGTCCCATCAACATGTTGCACACTTTAGAGAAAATCTTAGAACTTGTTGTTAAAGGCCAGCTGTTGGAGTATTTGAATAGCAACTCTTTGTTGATACCAGAACAATCGGGATATCGGGAAGGGCATTCTTGTGAAACTGAATTTGGTGTTAGCAAAGTGAAAAGACAAAATGGAGCGTAAAGATACGGCTGTTGCTGTTTTTTGGACCTAAAACGTGCTTTTGAAACAATTTCTAGGCCCTTACTGTTAAGTACAATCAAGCGCTTTGGAATTACGAGTACTGCATATAAATGGTTTGAAAGCTATTTGTCTGACAGAACTCAACGGACTGTTTTTAATGATTCTGTTTCCAGTCCCGTGGGGAACAACCTTGGAGTGCCCCAGGGAAGTGTATTAGGGCCCCTTTTATTTATTATGTATATTAATAACTTGCGACGTGTTTTATGGTTTGCGACATTAATCTTTTTGCAGATGATACTGTGTTATTCATTGCAGCTAAGGATTTAGAAGTTGCCGTCTCACACTTGAATGAAGATTTGCAGTATCTAAGTAGATGGTTGAAGTGTAAGCAGTTAAAATTGAATACAAGTAAAACTAAATTTATGGTGATTTCGCGGAATCGATTAAATGAGAATGTCTCTGTTGTAATTGATGATGAGACTATTGATCGCGTTCAGGAGATTAAATATCTTGGCGTGATTATTGATGACAAACTTAAGTTCAACTCTCACATTGACAATGTCATCAAGAAAATTGCCAAGAAGTATGGAATTCTATGTCGATTGAAAAACGATTTAACTATTGCCAGTAAAATACAGCTATACAAATCAATCATCTCTCCTTATCTAGACTTTTGCCCTTCCATTTTATTTCTGTCCAATGCAACACAAATATCGAGATTACAGCGATTGCAGAATAAAATAATGCGTTTGATTTTGAGATGTAATAGATTCACTTCCTCAACTTTGATGCTAGACGCCTTACAATGGTTGTCGGTGAAGCAAAGAATTGTATATTTGACTATGGTGTTCATTTTTAAAGTAGTTAACGGTTTGCTGCCTCGATATTTGTGTGATCGAATTGAAAGAGGAAGTGACTATCATAGATATAATACTAGAAACACGGATGAAATAAGAACACCACATTTCTTGACTTGTGCTTCACAGAATTCATTATTTTTCAAAGGAATAAATGTTTTCAATACGATGCCTAGACACATTAAACGTTCAACAACATTAGCAGAATTTAAGAGACATTGCATTTCACACGTTAAAACTGTCTTTTGAACGGTTATCTAGTGATTTTTTTTTTATGAATTGACAAATTATGTATCTTGACGATTACGGATTATTTTGTATGGATAGCTGTTATAACGACTTATTGTAGCACTGCAAAAACTATTTGTTCGCCACGATGGTGATGATGGATTTTTGATATATGATTTAATAATAGTAGTAAAAAAAAATAGTAGTCTACAAAGGTTTGAGCCTCGCGCGCGTATTACGGATATAGAGGACTGAATTTAACATTTGATAAAAAAAATGCAATTTTGAAGCTTATTTGGAAGATACCTTGAGTTAGTAGTAAGTTTTCTGGCAAATGTTGGGGGTTCGTGAGCATTCCTGACATTGCTGAAAATTATGATAGCATCAGATTGCGGGGTTGCTAGTGTAATAGGATGCTTTGTTGATTGTTCATTAACTCTTGATTGCTTGTAATACTTATGAATATTTTAGGTGGACAAAAAGGCGAACTAAGAGGTGGACGCCTGAGCTTTTCCACATTTATATCGCTGTGAAGCAACTGTAAACTCTAGAGGGAATTTATATCTGTAACTGAAACCAGTTCGATTTTGTTTGCCAACCTGGTTAAAATGTCATATTTAATTATCTTAAAGATAAATCGTCCAGCTCAAACCTTTGTAGGGGTAAGAGGTGGGACCATCATCATCATCAACAACGTTATAAGCTAAGAAATCATTCAAATCATATAGTATTTCTTAGCTTGAAGCTTTCTGAAGCTATCACTTTTTCTTTAAACTATTCATATTTATCACTTTTTGTACTTTTCAAAACGGAACAAAGGCACTCGACAATGAACACCAAGTATGTCAGCAACGTTACGGTGCAACAAAGATATTTTTCACCCACACACAGAGAAATGATTTTTAAATTCAAATGGATATATTGTTGGCTCAGGGCCTAATATATTTTTGGTATTGATTCAAATATAATATTCGGTTAATTCAAAGAAAAATATTTTTGAATCAACAAACCGGTTGTAGAGTCAATAATCTGTTTGTTGATTCTAAAAACCATTTTGTTGATTCAAAAATATGTTTCGTTGAAATAGTGATACAATACGTTTGAATCAATAACAAAATACATTAGGCCCTGAAACAAAAATCCATTTTTATTGCAATAATTGGGTAAATATGTACCCATTTTTGATCCCTAAACAGGTATCGGAAATGGGTGAAAAAGTACTCACTATTTGAAATTTTCATTTTCACATACACAGGTCCATACACTACCACAAAATAGGTACTTTTTCACCCATTAATAGGTACTCGCCAGTTACAGTGACGCACTTCAAATCGGCCATTGTATCCTCTTCTCATAGATCTACCCTAATAAAAAATTACCACAAACGAACGATAACCCAAATCATTGAACAATTCCTCAAATAGTTTGGATGATACCCCGAACACGTCGTTAAGCAAATTAACCATACCATTTTTATTAGGGTAGGCTTGACATAATAATTAGTTTCCGAAATTTCTCAGTGTCGTACGTTGATCGAGCACACTGATGGCGACTAGTTGCATGCCCCTCGAGACAATAACAAAGCGGGCGTTTCAAGTAGTTTCAGCTAGAGTCGGTGTATAATGAGTCACGCCAAGAGTGAAGCCAAGTCTACCTATTGGACTGTCAAACTGGCTACCTATCGTGCAAAGTAAACAAACATTACGATGCTATGAAAGGTCCACGAAAGGTATCGCAATAAAATATAAAATATAATCGAAGAAATGATCATAAACACGCAGTGAGCATTCAATTGTCATGGGATACGTTTGGTAACGATCAGTAATGAGAATTTCTACTATTTTTTGTTAAGATGATTGGACAAAATCACTGATAGAATGATTTACAACAGCCGCTATTTTTTTGCTCGCTAGAAGTCATTTGAAGTTGATGTAGCAGTCCTCTGTTGCCAAGTGAAAAGAAAGGGAATCTTTCGAAAACCGTGATGCGAGTTCAACTGTTTTTCGCTTGGCGTGACTCATTATACACCGACTCTAGTTTCAGCTTCCTTGCATACAGGAGAAAGCGAGATAACCGAACATTGTTCGTTCCATCTCCTTTCCACCTACCTTTCGGTGCACTTTCCGTTTCGTTCCGTTCCGTATGATTAGCCAAAAAATAATATTGTTTTGATGAGAGCAGGTTTGTGCTGAAAATCGAGTGAAGCTATAATTCCGTCTGCAATTTAATCGCGAAATCAAACACCGGAATCGGAATCGATACAATCTGATGAGCGCATCGCAATGAATGCTACAAAAGTGCAATCTCTATGCCGAACGTGCAGGAAGGAGCAGAAAAGTGACGCATCCCAGATTCCGATCGAGGCGCAGGATCTAAATGGCAAATGCATTGCCGATATGATTTACGAGCTTACGGATATTATGGTCACCTTCGATCGTCATCTGCCGCAGCATATCTGTCCACAGTGCTTGGAGGAACTTCAAGCGGCATACGGCTTCCGCCAAAAGTGTATCGATTCGAATACCATCCTGAGTAAGTTGGTTCCGAGTCTGACGGCATCTCCCAACGATGCAAATAGTTTGCTGTTGGTGAAGGCCGAATCTTGCGATCTGGATCAGACGGATACCGACGACGATAGCCTTTACGATCTGGTTGAGCAAAACGTAAATATGAGTAAGGAAAAATCCTCGAATCAACCGAAAAAAATTGTCAGAGCCCCTAGGACTCCGATTGCTAAGCAGACGGATCAGAGCGCAGCTCAGTCATACTCGAGAAATAAGAAACGGCAATTCCGTCAAATTGTCCGCGAATGCATGGAGACAGATGGTAAAGCTTATTATTGCGCCATAGAAAAGTCCACAGGTTGTAGATACAGTCAGGATTGTGTGAAGATAGATCTGGGTAACTTCATTAGACATTGTCGTTCGCAGCATCCGGAAGCTGCTATGCGCAATGGTCTCGTGATTCTTGAGGAAGGTTCCGTTTTGGAGCCGAAGAAAATGCGACTGACCAAACAGCAAAAGTATGACCAGGATCAGTGGCATCTGATGGAAGCTTGCGTCAAATTGGTGGCCATGCATAACCTACCGGTGCGCTGTTTCGAATGGGACGGATTACGCATCCTACTGCAACCGTTAGCTCAATCGTTAGAATTTCAAATAAACAGTGCGAATGTCCTCGACTGGACCCACATGACAGTGGAGCATCTGATGGATCGAATTCGTAGCGAGATGAGTAACAGGCTGGTATCGGTGAAAGTCGATTCCGCTAGGCATCACGGCCAACATTGTCTGACCGTGAGTGCTCAGTTTGAACACTATCATACCATAGTAATGCGGGTGCTTGGCGTGATTCGAGTCACCAAGGGACTGACTGATAAGCAACTGAGCGCTATGGTATTGGAACTTCTAAACAGGTACAATCTTTCGAATGAGCAGATATTCGCATTGGTTGTCGGTAATGAAGCGAGTGTGCTTGCTGTGGGTGGTAAGCTACAGAAGGCATTCGCTGATACTGTGTCCGATATTGGTGAATGGGACGTGGACACTAGTGAGGAAGCTGACAATGTTGAAACACTGCTAGATGTGCTTTCGACAGAACTTCGAGGACAATTCAATGCTATTCGAGGTGCAGTTTGCAATCTGCAACAGATCATAAGTAATGTTGTTTCGGATTTCGATACCAATATCGATCGAATTCAGCGGTTCGTTAGAGACGTAAACGATCCCAAATATACAGAGTTTTTCGAAACGAAAAAGGCGTCCCCGCCACCGCTGTGTTGCCCTAATCAATGGGATGTCCAGTACGATATAGCTCGAAGCATCATCCAGCAGGAAAAGTTCTACGTCGCGCTCTGCCGGAAGTATCCGAAACTCGGTATACCGCCCCCATTCTCTTGTTGACCGCGTTTCAAATCTAATTACGAAATAACGATTTTCAGCCTTGAACGAGAGTGACTGGAAATTTCTACGGGACTACAATGATGCCTTTCTTCCTTTGCACGAGATGATTGAGCTAGTTCAGGGAGAGCATCCTCCACCGTTCTCCGAGTTCTACATGCGCTGGCTACTGGCCATCAAGGATGTACGCGGTAAAACGGACAATCAATTTTCGGCACCACTGGTTGAATCCTTGACCAAGCGATTGGTGTTACTCAAGGAGAACATGGTCTACAAGGCAGCTATTTACTTGGATCCGCGATTTAATTACCTACGGTCGGTCGTGTTTACCGCCGAACAGAAAGAAGAAATACAGGTAACCGCCCGGGTTGGAAGTGGTTCAGTAAGGGTGGTCTCCTGGTCTATGTCTTGAAATGAAAACATTGTTTTTTTTTGCCATCAGTCGTTTAGTATGCTAATGCAGTATTTCTTCTTCTTATTTCAGAACTACATTGTCAGCATCTGGAACCGCATTCAGAACCTTAAACCGGGCATGGGCACAGATTTGGCCAATGTTGAAGAAATGAAGCAAGAGGACAAAAAGGACGACATGGACGATTTCCTCACGGAAATGTTCGGAGGCCCATCCGAAGGATCGTCCAAATCGTTGCCGATCACTCTCACCAGCAGTGTCACACCGATTCTTCATCAGCTCAAGAGTCTGGAAATTGAACCCCGCCAGTCGCATACCTACGACGTTTGGAAACATTGGTTGCTGCGTGCCGACAGCCATCCGGAGCTGTTTGCCGTGGCCATGGTTGTCCTATCGCTCCCCTCCAACAACGTCAACCTGGAACGGGCTTTCAGTGCGCTGGTTCTGTCCGATCGAAGAGACGGACTCTCGGAGAAAAAACTGGAGGAGCTGCTGTTGGTGAGATTGAATCGCAATCTGTTTGAGAAAGTCGTACTGTCGATGGGCGATTGGAAACAGGTTCTGGGATCGTAAAAGTACGGTAATGGCAATCTTGGGATTGATTTTTCATATTAAATATGAATATTTATGCTTCTGACGAAACTTTGAATGCTATCTTACATTAGTTTATTGAATGTAAATAAATTTCAAGATAATTTAACTTTTGTAGTCCGTCAACATTTGGTTCTAGTTTTGAAGATTCCCGTGTGAACGACCACCAGCTTGTGGTCTTAGGCCGGGATTCCCAGATACTCTAACAAGGTTCTAGATGCCAAACCCTGTGATGTCAAGTTACTTTGAGATCAGTTATGTATATTAGAAGCACAGACAAACAGATATAACACACGTGAGTTGTTCATCTAAAACGCATTTAACGATCAAATTAAATGTTTCTCAGTCAGTAGTACCGCCATCTATGGCGTACTTCCCGTCAAAGTGTACTCAGCTGATGGTGGCAGTGTTTTAACGACGATGTATTACAGTGTGAAATATTCAATATGTTATGTCTGTTTGTCTGTGAAAGAAGTATCAACTCATCATGATTGCAGCGATACGGCTCGTGAGGCTTGATCGAACCAGTTCCAGATGGAGGGGGAGTCACCATAGCTTTAAAGGGAAATACATGCTGCCGAGTTTTGCGCTGAAGGCCATCGTAGCCGTAGGGGTGGTAGCCTCCGCGTCTGTCGGCCCTATTTCCATCGTTGCGGCCTACAAACAAGTCAACGTCAGGGACGGGTCGGCAGTAAACCTGTGAAGTGATATCATCAAACTAATAGCGAATTCGTTTATTATTCAGTTCCAACCTGGATCGGGTATCAAGATTGGGTCTGCTTGTTTTCTGACAAACGTCAGTTTGCTCGTTTGTTTTTAAAACCTAGCTCAGGTTGAGGTTTACACTGACAAAAAGTTCGGTTTCGCACTGGGTTGGAACTGGTGTTAACCCCGATAATAAACGAATTCGCTATAACTCGACGGCAAGAGAACTACATCATCACTGGGTACCTGCACGTCAAACACCAAGACTAGGGCAACAGTCGGCGAAAATGGCACCATCCTGAACAACTCGGTATCTGCAAGAAGCTCACTACAACATGTTGAACCCGGAATTGAGTCGGTCCGGTGTTCATGAGCAACATGGTCAACAGCATCTCGCAATCTGCCGTGTGCCAGGCCCATACCCGATGGTGTCCGTGAACTGATTCCAATCTTCCCGGCACAACTACCATGGTGTTAACTGGGATCAGTTTCAACCAGACCAGCGACAAGGCCTACACCAATAGCAGCGTTTCACAATGTATAAGTTTCCGGGTTTTTGACATATAATGCATGGGCTAACTGTCCGAAAACCTGAAAACTTATCCATTGTGCGCCACTGAGCTGGTTTCAACAGTGCGTCGACTTCGTGCATATCAACAGTTGACACCTTGTGTACGGACGAGTAATACTACGGCAGAGAAAAAAGTTGTTTTTTTTTTTTACTTTTTCTGGACACCCGTCCGATAAGTTTTGCTACTCTTTTCCGAAAGGAACCTGCACACACCACAAACATGGCCAACCGCCAACTATGCGTGATTAACTTCAGTGTCATGCCAGCAAAACCCAAACCGTCCCGAGTGGACAATTTCATCGCGAAAGATGTTCAGCTTGATTGGAGCAAAGTGCGAGGATTGCAGCTCAACAACATCACATCGTACGTACCATGTCATCAAGATGGATAATAGAGCTAATAAACTATAGAGGAAGAATAGCGCTGGTGTTCCCTTTGTTCCGATGTTGAATAATACAAAACTGAATAATACTGAATATGACTTCCGTAGAGCTGACCATCGCAGTATCGTCCATGTGCTGTCTAATCTAGATTGGGAGTATATTCTAGATCCTGTAGACGTCAACATTGCTGCCCAAACCTTTTCTCACGTCTTGGCATATGTCATTGACAGACACGTTTCCAAAAAGATCATCCATATCGACTCTCGCGTCCCGTGGATGACGAAAGATCTTCGCTCGTTGAAAAGAACTAAGAAGGCTGCTCTCAGGAGATTTACTAAACTCCGCACACTGCCGCTGAAATGCTACTATGTCAGACTCAACCACGAGTATAAGCGGTTAAGTCGTCTCTGTTTTCAACGCTATCAAAGGAGGATTCAACGGCGGCTAAAATCACACCCGAAATCCTTCTGGAACTTCGTAAATCAGCAACGCAGGGAAGTCGGCTTACTCTCTTCCATGATTTTTAATGATGAAACTGCTGGAAATCAACAAGACATTTGCAACCTGTTCTCAGCCAAATTTGCTAGTGTGTTTGAAGACGAGCAACTCTCCGCTAATATCATTACTTCCGCGGCCAGTAATGTTCCTTTGATCAACCAAACGCTCAGCATGGTCGAAGCCACTACAGATACGATATCTAGAGCAGCATCTAAACTTAAGACTTCAACTGGACCCGATGGTGTCCCGTCGATTATTCTTAAAAAGAACATCACTTGTCTTTTAGATCCACTGCGCCGCATATTCCAGCTCTCTCTTTCCAGCGGCATCTTTCCATCTTGCTGGAAGACTGCGGATATGTGTCCTGATCATAAAAAGGGAAGCAAACGCGACGTAAACAACTACCGGGGAATCAGGTCGCTGAGTGCTGTATCAAAACTTTTTGAATTGGTTGTCATAGAGTCCCTAAATGCGCATTGCAAGCAATATCTAAGTACAGATCAACACGGATTCATAACTGGGCGTTCCACAACTACGAACCTGCTGTGCCTAACGTCTTACATCACAGACAGTTTGATTGCTCGGACCCAAACGGACGTTATCTACACAGATCTTACGGCAGCCTTCGATAAGCTGAACCACGAAATTGTGATCGCTAAGCTTGATAGGCTAGGTATCGGTGGAAATCTTTTGAGATGGTTTCGTTCATACCTCACGGAGCGCCAATTGACAGTAACTTTGGGTACTTGTCGCTCAGCAAGCTTCTGCGCAAAGTCCGGTATACCTCAGGGTAGCCATCTGGGACCATTGGTATTTCTCCTTTACTTCGACGACGTTCACCATGTTATCACAGAGCCACGATTATCGTTTGCAGACGATCTGAAAGTTTTTCTGCGCATCCGCTCACTCGCCGACTGCCGTTCTCTCCAAAATCAGATTGACATCTTTGCTGATTGGTGTAGTCTAAACCGACTGGTGGTCAACCCAGCTAAGTGTACAGTTATTACTTTCTCACGCAAGAAACAACCGATTATTTTCAACTACAAACTACTAGGCACGACTGTCGAACGGGTGCACTGCGTGAAAGACTTAGGCGTTTTTCTAGACTCAAAGCTGACATACTCATGTCATGTCGTCGACAAAGCGTCCAGAACGCTTGGCTTTGTCTTCAAGATTACTAAGAACTTCACGGACATTTACTGCTTGAAATCGCTCTATTGCTCTCTCGTACGATCTACATTGGAATACTGCTCTGCTGTCTGGAGCCCGAACTACAATAATGGGGCCGAGCGAATTGAAGACGTTTTCTTCGCTTCGCGCTCCGTAAGGTGCCTTGGAGATACCCACTTCGTCTTCCAAGCTACGAGAATCGCTGCCAATTGATCAATGTCGAGCCCTTACGTATCCGAAGAGATGTTTTCAGAGCCTTAATCGTCGCCGATACTCTGCAAGGAAGAATCGACCACGAAGCAATTCTGCAACAAGTGAACATTAATGGTCAACCTCGATCACTACGCAACAGTCTTATGCTGAGACTTCCACTTCTTCGAACTAATTATAGCATAGGGAGCGCTATTTACGGCTTGCAGCGAGTGTTCAACCGAGTAGCGTCGATATTCGATTTCCACTTGACACGGAATATGCTTCGCCGAAGATTCTCTGCCTTTTTTGCTGACCGAAGGCGCTTGATACCCAACAGCTATGTGTAAAATTTAAGACTTTTAAATTTTTAGTAACTTGACAATGCTTTCCAAGTTATTTTCGTTTGTAACTGTAGTAACTGTAGTATATGTATGTCGCCTGTATAATCTGTACTTTTTTTACAACACATCATTGGGACTATTTCTAGTCTGTTGATGCAACCATAACAAATAAACAAATAAATAAACCCAGAATAAAAATAATACAGCTAAATAGGTTACCAGAAACTCGTTTTTCTGATGGTCATAGGGTTATTAGAAGTTCAAATTAAAAATGAACCCAGTTAATATGCACGAAGTGTCGTTCAGGTTACAGGGGGTCCATGGTAGTAATATGCTTAGAAGTCGATTTGGAGAAACGCAAAAGAAATCGGCAATCTCTTGATACCCCTTCTAATGACATTTATTTGAGCAATCAATTTGATATGCTCACGGATGATGAGAATGATCCAGGCAAAATTCCAGTTGACATGTCCAGCTTAATGTCAATAAGGAAAAGGTCCCCCCTATTGTGATAACCACTACCGATTTCCATGACTGCAAATTGTCAGTCGGGGTGAATGCCGAATATTGACTGAAACCTCAAACGGATTCAAAAGTTTTCTACTGAGAAGCAACACATTTTTTTTTTTACTGTGTCGTAAGTAAGTAAAACTGCAAATCTGTTCATGATAGTCTTGAAAGTGTTTGAATCCCTGGATCAGATCAAAGATGGTTTGATAACATTACTTGGAGTTGAGCCAGTCCAAGTAATCAAAATGAAAAGGGAATTTTGTCCTGGCGATTCGCGCAACGGGATTTCTAATGATTTTTATTTAGTTCACTTCAAGTCTAACTAAAAGGGAAATTCGTCTTAGAAAAAGCTAGCCTTATGCTCCATGTCCGAGTGAAGCTGGAACAATTCAGGAAGACTAGAGGAAAAGTACAAAACCTCACCCAATGCCGTAAACACAATAGCTACTTGCCAGTTAAATGCATGAATTGTGGTGATTCTTCCGAGGGGTTTCTACCAAGCTTGTAAGGTGATCGGTTATCAAAAATTACCACCAATTATTCAAATAATTAATGAGATTGGAATTACTCAGTAATTTCAATGTAATAAAAATAATTCTGTAGTTTTCACTAAAACAATTTGATTCTGTTAAAATTTTAACAATGCACTAACTTATTTTAACTTATATGTCTTCTAATGAGCAGAAATGATTCGAAACATTCCCCCCTATTCTGCGAGTCACGTGACTCTCTGTCACCGGTGAGGTGACAATAGTCACCCCGTGTGAGGTGACTCTCCATTTGATTTACATGGAGAGTCACCTCACACGAGGTGACAATTGTCACCTCACCGGTGACAGAGAGTCACGTGACTCGCAGAATAAGGGGGATTATTCGCGATTTACTCAGATGTTACTTTTAGAACATGGGACAGATATGTGTAGAACGGCAGTGAAGAAGTCAATAAATACCAATAAGTATTCGCCAGAATGAAGAGGACCCATGAAGTCAAAGGCAATGCCTGCGGCTCATTGGGACTGGTCGGCTCGGAAGTACAATTCAAGAGCAAATTTTCATTACGTCGAATGTAACAAAGGTAAACAAAGTCGAGCTATCAGTGTCAATCGATGCTCCTGCTATTACACTAATATACTGTCTGAATATAGGATCACATCCCATTTTTAAAATTATTTACCAGTCAAATTGCTTTTTGACGTAATCACCTTCCGATCAAAATAGTTTTCGATGTTACTTAAGTCACCCGATTTCTATGGAGATGCCGTTTGCCTTAAGTAACAGCACAGAGAAACCAGTGAAAAGTGTACGTTCGTCGTTTCGATTTCTCAGTATTAAAGTGAATAAATAGAACAGTTTGTTGCTTAGATGATTTTGGTGGTCCTAAAATGATGAATGGGCTGCACGTAAGGAGACGTAATTGATAATTCTCCCGAATATCCTGGTAAATACACTTTGACTTAAGTAACAATAGGGGCCACCAAACGACGTATAATATCTTTTGACTCAAAAACCAGTATTTTTTAGCATGAAAGCTAGCGATTTGCATTTGTATGATTAAAACCCGGCTTAATATGTTAAACATTGCTATCACTATGAGATTATATGTGTTTAATTGGAAATAGGAATAACTTTTCGGTCATCAAAACAAAACTTTATTTTTCTCGGATCGGTGCGAATGTTACTTACGACATAATGAAAATTTGCTCTTGAATTATAGTTAACATCCTTCAGATACTGCACAACATTCCATCGTGTCTCGATCCATTGAAGGCCACCATGCACGATCTCGCAATCGTCTTTTCATGACTTATTCACCCGGATGCCCTTCGAGAGCAAATGTAACATGCGTTGCCGTAGTCGCTTAGGAACAACAACTCATTCCGAAAAGGTTCAAACGATTTTGCTACCGGGTTACTCCAGCTGCCAGACCGAAGACATTCTCTTACGGCTGTTATCTCTGGATCATCGCGGGTCATCAACATCAACTGCAACAGATTCCTGGATTGGCTGTTATCTTTCTCGAAGGCTTCAGCACCATCAGAATGAACCAATCGGGATAAAGAGTCTGCGATATTTCTGCTTCCTTTCTGATACTTGACCTTGGACTTAAAGGATTGTAGTCTCAAGACCCAGCGTTCAATGCGAGCGCATGTTGTGGAAAACTTTGAAAAAATAACTAAATAGCAGGTGTCTCGTTTTCTTCTCGCCAGATGTGGTACTCTGGAACAGGAACCAACTTAAAATTCACATCACGGAATCGGATTTACACAGTAGTAAAGATACCCTTTCTCTTCCCTCGTTATCCAAAGGCTAATGATATGGAAGGGTAAATTCTAGGTATTGATCGCAAGTGATCCAGTCAGATCAATATAGTTCTTGTATACCTACTAAGGAGAATTCATTGCTGGGGTCTGCGTTAACAAATATCTTTAAAACAAATCGACACTCCCGAAACATTCACCAGTCAAAAGAGGGGACTTTGCCCGTCATTTTTACACTATTTAAATTTTTCATCATTATCATTTCTCATATTAAAATAGAAAGAGAGAAAAAGTGACCCATAGAAATAATCACTCAGATTGACCTATATTATGTATAATTCGGGGAACTTGATCTATATTTTTTTATATTTCATTAGTACGTAGTCTCAAAAGGTTTCCGGAATGCCGATTTTTTGTTTTAATGTTATTTTAATAAAGGCACCGAGCGACCTGTCACACTCATACCATACATACAGTGAACACCGGTCAGTGCTGTTATGCAATGCAATCTATGTCCATCCTAACCTATCCCAACCTATCGACGTAACTACACCCACATTCTGCACAACAGTCACATCTTTGCTGGATTTGCAGTTCAAATAGGACTGTTATGCGTTTATGGGCAGGGTGATGGAAATGAAAAAAAAAAAACGAAACGAAAAATCTTCCATCCTATCAGCTATTCTTTATTTAAATTCTAAAATTTAATCGTTATTTATAAAATAAACTCATTCAGCTTAAAAATTATGTACCACAGCAACGTAGTATTTCGACTTTTTCAATTGGTTTAACGATCCTAATAATCTACAGAAAAGCTCAATTTGGCCATATTGGATTGGGTAAACAAAATTTTATTGAACTGCGCAAAACAACAACACTAGTGAACACTACTGCTTCAGACTACTGAAAATTTTTCCATTCTCAAACACAATTTTCACCAGGGGCCAAATCGTTCCTTCCCAGCCGTAATCATCCTCTAATCAGCGAATATTAATCGTCCCATTTAGACGCGATACTGCCCTTTGCACTGCCTCAGAGCTTCGTTGAATCCATCGCACAACGTAAGATCGGACTGGTCCTGGGCACAGGACAGGAACTGCTTAATTTCCCAGGCACACGGTCCGGATGGGGTCTGAGCTTCCGAACCAGCTGCCGGAGCGTACTGTTGAACTGGGGCAGCCTGCTGGGCTGGGGCCGCTTCCTTCGAGTCGGATCCACTGAACATTCCGGTCATGGCATGTCCAATGGTATGGCCAACGGCAGAACCGATCGCAACACCACCGGCCGTGGCAGCCATCTGGGCCATCAGACCAGGACCCTGACTAGGGGCGGCCATCGGTGGGGCGACCGCACTTGGTGGGGCATGCTGAACCGCCGGCTGGGTAGGAGCAGGACGCGGAGCAGGAGCAGGAGCTGGACGCGGAGCGGCAGCCATCGGCGCAGATCTACATAGAAAGGCAAGGGAAGAAAGAACATCAGGGTCAAAGGTCTTGTTTTTGTCCTGCAAGTGCATCGACGACGTCATAGTTGAGGATAGTCTAACAAACAAGCTCCCGCCTGAATCATCCGAGACATTTCATCAGCAGCCAATTTCACATTCTTATGAAAGATAAACAGATCTGATTATTTTTAGAAAGTCGCATGTTGCGACTTCTAGGCTCAACGGCAAGTAGAGATGCGCTACTACCGAATGGAAGCAACCAGAACAACACTAAGTCGGTAAATATTTGTCGACCTTTGGACTTTTGCTTACTCGATGATTCGAGCGCATTTATCACATGACATTTAGGTTTTTTGAACATTTTTCGAATTCAAAGAAATTTACTGTTGCGTAACTCTCACTTCCAGAATGAACACATCCTCAGCGTCAGAAGCCACTAGACGTTTCTCGACCAGGGGCCACAAAATTTAACCTCAAAAACTGCCAAACATACCTGCGCTGGGCTGGCGGCGGAGATGCGGACCTTCCTCGTCGTGGCATTTTCAGATAGAGCTTGTTAACTTCTTTTATTGAACGATATTCACTGATTCACACTTTAAGGCTTTTGGATGATGCAATTTCCTTTCTTCTTAATGCCTTCACACAATTAAATTTTCACGTTTCGCACTGTTGATTGCTCGGTTTTCTCTCGACAACTGATCGGATGATACGAGAAAACGTCAAATTTGTACTTTTTGCTCCGGTCACTGCGACTGCAGAGCTGTGCGCTGACATTTCAATGACAGTTCAGATTCCATTAGTGAAAAAAAAAGTACGACAGGTGTGTGCGGCTGTCGGAGTATCAGATCAATCGTACCGGTGCGTTGTTAAAACTATTCTATCAAACTCCACTCAGAAAAAAATCTAAACTACACAGAAAAAAAGTTGCACAGAGGTCATTCCTCTGGTTGTGTAATTTTTTTTTATCTGTTTGGGACCTAACACTACACAGCAAACAAAGTTGTTGAATATTACATCGAAACTGCTGCAACCAAGTCAATCCATCGGTTGTGTAATATCACATTGTACGATGTACATCGATTTTGCGAACAAAATTACATCCATTGATGTAATATTGTATCTGCTTTTTGCTATTACATCATTATTTCATACATCAGCTTGAATTACATTGATCGACATTACATTTTTTTTTGCTGTGTACTGCGACCAGTAAATTAATTATATGATTTGAGTAGTAGCTATACTGAAGATCCGATAGATGTCGCCCCTTCAGTGGTAGGAAAATCATTTTTGTAGTATGGAGAATATCAGAAAATCCATGATTTGTGACTAAACATGCTTTCACAGAAAGAAATAAATAAACGAGTGCTTACCTTATCACCATAGTAATGTACTCGTGCAATTTTTGTGCATCTAAAACTGCTCATAAAGACGATAATGAATAAAAACTGAAAATTTTCATGCATTTCCAAATGGTTTCCTACCATTCCCATACATTCGAAAGTGACTGGCCCTCTGGATGTGGATGATGTCAAAAACAACAAAACATGATTAATTGATCTATTGTAGTATATCCCGTGTCCTTAGTTTATTCCCCAGAAAACCATTCCCCGAAAACCATTCCCCCGAAAACCATTCCCCAGAATGCACCATTCCCAGGGGGTAAGTCACTTTGCCACCTTGTGTCCGTGCTTATTGTGTTTCTTCGGTGTTTTTGGGTGTCGGAAGGTGTTTCAGCGTGTCAACATAGTTGTCAAAACGTTGAGTGAAAAATATAGTTTTTTGGCAACCACTATATCTATAACAGTTTCCGTGCTACAATGGGTGGTAAACCACTATCATATCATATAAGAAGGATGTAGGCACTTAAGAACAAAATCAAAAAAGCGTTTGTTCAGAATGCCAAAATAATCGTTCACAAGTCCACACATTAAATTTAAATCGCTGAACATCAGCAAAATTTTGCTGATTTTAGACTTGATGAAAGATCAGCAAACGTTCCAGCAAAATGATGCTGCTGAATTTTTTAGCAATTCCATCTTCTGTCAAAATGACAACCTTTTACTGAAAATCAGCAATATTTTTGTACTGATCTTCAGCAACAATCAATACGAAACTAACGATTTTAAATTGGCTCACTACTTGACTAGCCTATTGGTCCCAAGCAAACGATTAACGTATGCCATTCTAGTCGAAATTCTAGTACTACGCAATGTTTGTTTTGATTCGCTATGAAAGTTTGACAGATAAAATGAGAGGTTATTGGTTTTACCTATGTTTCGAGGGGTGATTCGACAAGCTTGGGACCGAAGATAGTACCAGAGGTGAGCCAAAAAGTTGAGCACGTTTCTTCGGGACCTACTAGCAACAATCAATACGAAACTAACGATTTTAAATTGGCTCACCACTTTAGTAGCCTATTGGTCCCAAGCAAACGATTAACGTACCCTATTCTAGTTGAAATTCTATTACTACACTATGTTTGTTTTGATTCGCTATGAAAGTTTGACAGATAACATCAGGGGTGTGTGGATTCATGCAGAACATGCAGGGGTGAGTGAAATAGCTTGGGACTGCTTGGAACCGTTGTTCTGGTACTGAGTGAGCCAAAAATAATAATGATTTTCTTCGGGACCCAGTGGTCTTAGAGTTACCTCTATGCTACTAGCATAGAGGTAACTCTAAGACCACTGGTTCCCGAAGAAAATCATTATTATTTTTGGCTCACTCAGTACCAGAACAACGGTCCCAAGCAGTCCCAAGCTATTTCACTCACCCCTGCATGTTCTGCATGAATCCACACACCCCTGATGTTATCTGTCAAACTTTCATAGCGAATCAAAACAAACATAGTGTAGTAATAGAATTTCAACTAGAATAGGGTACGTTAATCGTTTGCTTGGGACCAATAGGCTACTAAAGTGGTGAGCCAATTTAAAATCGTTAGTTTCGTATTGATTGTTGCTACTAGTCTTAGAGTTACCATAGAGGTAACTCTGAGACCAGAAGGTCCCGAAGAAACGTGCTCAACTTTTTGGCTCAGCTCTGGTACTCTCTTCGGTCCCAAGCTAATCGATGCACCCCTCGAAACAGAGGAAAATCCATGAACCCTTCATTTCATCTGTCAAACTTTCATAGCGAATCAAAACAAACATAGCGTAGTACTAGAATTTTGACTAGAATGGGTAACGTAAATCGTTTGCTTGGGACCAATAGGCTAGTCAAGTAGTGAGCCAATTTAAAATCTTTAGTTTCGTATTGATTGTTGGAGTTACCTCTACACACAAAGAAAACTCGTTGTTAAAATTAAAAAATCCATTGATATAATTAAAAGTTTGCGTTGGTTCTTTTTGGTAGAAAGTCGTTAGCTTTCAAACCGAAAGTCAGTTAACTGTCAAATCAAAAGTTGCTCCCTCACTACTTTTAAAAGTTGAAACTTTCGAATTGAATTGTACTACTGTCAAATGAAAACCATGACAATGTTAAAATTAAAAACGGATTAATTTTGCTTCAAAACAAACTTTTGCTTTGAAATTGTTGTACAGTTGAAATGACAGGTGTCATTTTGAATTTAACAGAACAATAAATTTTAATTTAAAGACAAGCATTTTCATTTTAAAGTCCTCTCATTATTTACTTTATAACCGTTATTTATTTTTCAAATTATTATATTTTTTTATTCTGTTCTGCAGATTCTGCTGCTCTGTCATAACATCCTTCAACTGATAAAAATTTCAATGCTTCCATACCGTTTGTTCACACGAGCTTAGTGGAGCCGTTGCCATTGATGTACCCAACGCTTCACCTTGTCCAAAGATCTCCCGTCCGTATTCAATAGAACATCTTGACTCGCATTCTGGTCCCATCGTCCGGTACACGAAACGAAAATCAATTATTTTATCCATGTGTTTCACTTATACATTTTTGCCAAAGCATCAGCCTTATAGATTCCATAAGACAAACCACATAGGTCCTATAAGATTGCATAAAAGGTATGTGTGACCGCTTATACATTTCATTTGACACATGATCTTCATTAACTTTTTGCAAGGCGTCTGCTTATAACTTGACTTATACATTTTATGAATAATCAGCAATAGAAATTTGCCAAAAGGTATAAGGAGATTTCTATCCGTGTACGATCTTTTTCTTCCTGCGAAACTGTTATGCACAGCATCGTTAGTTTTGGCCACCATCCTAGCCACCATCCTCTCTTCCACCCGGCAGATGTTGAAGAAATCCAATCCCTGCATGTGATACTTTTCCAGCCGGAATATTCGATCTTGCACCAAGATCAACACGGAAAGTCGAAAACGGTTAGCACTTAAAAAACAATCAATTAGTCACAGTCATGTCACAATTCCTTCAATCTTACCTATTGCATGCAAAATCACCAAATGAAACTAAATTTTACTTAAAGAACACCCGAGGGGAGATATCGGAATCGGTTACCGTTGCAGGCACTGGATGATTTTTAGAGGGATTTTGTCTTAGTGGTTAAGACTATATGCCCTGTTGGCTTTTTCGACGATGATTGAATTTGCTTTTCAATAGATATTTTGACAGTTTAACAGTTTTGGTTTTAAGAATATGCACTTTTAAAATTACGAGTTGATAGTGAAAGAATCACTTTCAAGCTAAAAAATTAAATTTCATTTTGAAATTATTTGTGGTTAAAATAACAAAATTTTGAGAACTTTTAATTTGAAAACACATAATTTTTAATAACATAATTTTTGTTTTTTGTGTGATGTCTTCAGGGTGTTAGTTTATGTTAGCTGATGTTTTCAGTAAAAATATCGTTTGCTGTTTTTCAGTAAAGCATTGGATTGCTGGTCATGATTCAGCAATCCGTTTTACTGATATTGAAAACTTAAATTTGGTGTGCTCAAAAGTGAACCGAATGTTCGGGTGTTCCATATTTGGTACAAAATTACAGTATACTGTAAAAAATCTTAATGTGTAGTTTTTTTTTTTTTTTTTTTTTTTTTTTTATTTCTTTATTATCGAAATTTTCAGCCGCAGGCTGGTTCATCTCCCGTTTAATGGTAACATGGAGAGGGCGTTTGAAAGATCCAGTGAGGCCCCCCTTGGCAATTGAATAATAAATAGTTACAGTGGTTCATGCCATATTATACATATTATAAAGATGTAAAACAAAATCGTAATCCGTTAAACGTTGGCAAATGTGGGTTGTGAGATGATAACAATATTGATGTTAGGAGAATAATCCGTTAGGTGTTTGCAGGATGATCAGTTGTGAGATGGCAAATCTCATAGCGTTAACATAAGATCAGTTTTTCAAATTTGTGTGTATAGTTCGGTGTCTTTCAGGAAGCACAGTAAGGCAGATTCGTATGAAGGATCGTTACTTAGAACGTCTCGCACTCCAGCGTGGATACCATACAGACGTCGATGATCCTCATACTTGGGACAGTTCACAAGTATGTGTTCTACTGATTGTTCTGTCTGGCATATATCGCACCGTTTGTGCCTGTCTGGTACTATGGAATAATCGTGGGTGACTCGAGTGTGACCCGTTCTTAGACGCGATAGGGTTCGTTGGTCTTTCCAGCGGGGCTGATCAGTCCATTTCTTGATGTCACCTTTCACCTTTCGCAAAAATAGCCATCTTTCTTGTTGCCAGCTTTGGGCCCA